ACCAAACTTTGTTGGGCAATGTCCAGTTTTGAGCAAGGAGAGATGGCACAATTTGACAATGCCAGGGTATATATATATATATATCAACCTTTGTGCCAATCTACCAAGCACCGACACCTGACGGTCCATGCTACTTTACAAACACTCTTCACTTCGGCTCTTGAACAAAAGGTGACTCTGCACCCGGGGGAGGCGATTCATTTAGCCTAAAACTCGGGGGGGGGGGGCAAAACGCTGCCGGAAAAGCCGGGGGACGCGCTTCAACGCCAGGAGGCGGGGGAGGCGGGCGCTGGCTGAAGTTGATGGCCGGGGAGAAGGCCGCCGCAGAGGCCTCGGTCTCTTGGCGAGTCCTGTTGCATGTGTTGGTTTTTTTGGGTGCGCCACGGCATGTCTAGTGGTCTGGCCCTTTCTTGTTGTTTTGCGGTTTGGTGGGGTTGCACGTTTTGATTGTTTCATGTCTTCTATCTTCTGAAATGATTGTGTTGTTTTTGTTTTTCCCCCCCCCCGTGTTGTTTTTTACAGAGAATCTAGTTTTTGTTTCTTAGTGTTTTTTTCTCCAGGGGGCTTGTCTAGTTTGCAGCGGAGTAAACATTGGGCCGTGATAATAGGCAGTCAACCCCATGAATTTCATTCCCCGTGTTGATCACTGTGCCAGCTACCTCCCCCGACACCTCTCCGAGAATTCGAGGTACCGGACAAAGCTTGTGAGGGCTGGCAATGAAGCCGAAGGTTTTCCGTGACGAAAACCCTAGCCTGGCCTCACACTAGGGTATCAACCGACAAAACCACGAAACACAACGTTTTTGTTGGTTTAAGACCCACGAAACCAAACAACCAAACCAAAAAAGTACAACCAAACACAACCAACGACAATACCCTATGCCCCAGACCGTTCCGGAGGTTTCACGGCTTTAAGACCTCCTAGTTGGAGGCCTTCAAAGGCTCCAACCACTACTGCAAAGTAAAATGGATCCCGCGAAGGGGAGTTGTCCAAAAGGACATTCCTGCAAGAAAAATGCGAAAAAATGTTCCACCCACTGGTTCATCATTGGCACTTGGCTTTTCTTTTCATTTGGTGGGTTCACAGCTAGTGGTCAGCCGCAAGAAGGCTCCCCTTTTCCTGCCTCCACTGGGCGACTGGGCCACGTTAATCTGCCGCTGCCAAGGTGCTAACCTCGGCTATGTCGCGAGTGCCGTTGCCACATGCTCGGGCCGCGGATGCGCAAAGTGTTTTTTGTTTTTGTTTTATATGTGTATATATATATATATGTAATAAATACGTAGCACATGCTTCAACCAACGGGCTCCTCAAAACCTGGCAGAACCTTTCCTGCAGGTCTTCGTGTCTTGTTGTTCCTGGCCTGGCGTCAAGGGACTGGGTAGCAGAAGAGTGCAGAAGGTGTGGAAGAGAAATGTTGACCGTATATGAATTTCAGCCAACCTGCCTATGAATCGGGGCTCTCTTGCCCAGTGGTGCCCTTTTTCCTTTTTTTTTGGGTAAGGGGTCCCTTTAAACTCAATCAACAAAAGAAGGGTGTCCTTTTTTCCCATGGCCACTGGAGGGGGGTTGGGGCCCTGGTCTGATTCCCCGCTAGACCCAGACACCCCCATAATATGAATAAACTGGGGTTGAAATTCATGTGGTGCCAACATGAAATTGCCAGATGGAGCCAGCTGGTGCAGGCTGGCTGTTCACAAGACTTCATTCAAGGGCAAGGCTGCTTGCCAAGAAACACTTTGGATCCCTTTGCGGATGTCAACGGTATTGTTTATGCACTAGCGGTGCTCGCGCTAGCCGCGGAGCGGTGCTCGCGCTAGCCGTGGTGATCTCCACTTACCTAGGATTGAGCACGACTGTTCTGGAAGATAGCCATAAGATTCGGCACTGGACCATGCGATTGGACAAATTACACCGTTGACTGAAGGTGTCGGTACTTGTTTGTCCATTTGCCTGATGCAATGCATATGCACGGACATGATGCACTTAGGCAATCCAAAAGGAACAACCTGCTTTGCTCCGTTTATGAGAGCTGCTGAGACCTTCTTGCTTTTTGACCTGCCAGTTTGTCAGCAGCCATGCACGTGGGAGAGGTTGAGCAAACACACAGCCCAACGATTCTGAGTAACAAGCGTTTCATGTTGTTTCGCTTTGGGCATGTGCCCCAGAAGCGAGAAGCCCGCTCACCTATATGGTTTCTTTCGACCCCAAGATGGCAACGACGCCTTTTGGTTTGCCTTGAATTGCATCCAACAGAGGGGGTTCCCCCAACAAGGCGCGCTCATACTTGTTGGAGGCAGTTGTCACCCTTTGCACCCCATGTCTCCCTCAACTTGCTATACATACATACATACATACATACATACATACATACATACATACATACATACATACATACATACATACATACATACATACTACGGGTACCAGGTGCATGCTGATCAATATTCCCTGGGGCCCGGCTGCATTTTACATCCAGGTTGGGATGTTTTTTTTGCACGTAGGCTAGGCTCCTAAATCTGGGTCTGCGGCCTTTTTTCCCTCTCAAGGTCTTGGAGCTTGGGACCTACTGCGGCTACTCTGCCATGAGGCATGCGGAGCGCATTTCGGCTCCAGTTTGCTTGGGTTGGGAGGCTCCGTGTTCCTTGTGTTCTGTAGGTCCCCCACACATGTATAAATACACACACACACACACATATATATATATATAGTAATAATAAACATACATACATTATGTACATACGTCTGTATATATATATAGCTTGGGAAAGACTGGAAGGTTCCCCCATTGCAGTGGACACCCCCACAAGAATCAAGCAGGGATTTTTAAATCTCCAGTTCCCGTCGGGCTTGTGCTTTCGCTCCTGATGTTGCAGGATGTGCCTCGTGCGCGCCTCAGAGGGTGCCAAAGGTGCGCAAGCTCCTGACCTGATAGATCCCCCCCCCCCGGTGCACCGGTACATGAGTGAGAGAGTTGTGGCAAGGCTTGCGCTTGAGCAACCTGTTGCAATTCTAAGCGCCCGCGATTGAAGGTTTAAGCCGCAGTGCTTCAAAGGAGGTTATCTGAAACGTTTAATCTTTTGTCGTGACTAGGGCTTCTTGAATTGTGAAAAGCCCACTTGAGCGTTTTTCCAACCACACTGGCCGGAATGTGAACCGCGGGAGCTTGTTGTGCAGCGTGTAGTACATGACGCATCAGGTGAGGACTGCGATAGTTGTTGCGTCCAGACTTGGCGTCACATGCAAAACATGGGATGGTGACGTTTGTTTTGGTGCTTCGTCAGGTTTGTTGCTTGAAAGCTTTTTTATCTGCTATTTTCAGCGTTGCGTTTGGAGGCCAGTTATCTTTGGGAGGCATCAGGACAGAAACCGCGCAGTGAGACAACTACGCGTGTACACTATATACATATATATATATATATACAATATGTACACATTGGTAAACTGATAAGCCAAGCTTTGACTTTCTGTGCTTCATTTGTTGGGTGACAATCTGGCCCCAATCAGGCCTATTAGGGTTTGCTAGGCGCGACGCCGCTCCAGCAACGCTCATTGCTGAGGCCGTGGATCAAGCAACGGTGTGCCACTCAGAGAGATCTCATGTACAGGGAAATGCAGCATTGCATTTGTCCACTACCCTGCAATGCTTCGAAGAAATTGCGTTCAGTTACTTGGCAAAGAAGCGGACAAATGACTTGGATAGAGTCACCATTCCTGCGTCGCACGTGCCACAAGAATTCGACTCATGGGGACCACGTGCCTATGGCCATGCAATTCAGATCCTCTGCAAGTAAAACGACCCTTCCCATGAAGGCTCCTTTCTGTGGACTTCCTCAGTTCTATTCGGTCTATTCTGTTGGGCCCATTGATCTGGCCGCTTTAGGGTTCGAAGTGAGTTGCCCTCGGAATTCCGACCACTTGGCGGGTTGACTTGCGGTTTGGCGGGGCTCGAATCAAACTCTGCGACAAAGCTGCCAGCAAACAATTCGTTTTCCGCAAGCTTCACGGGCCCTGCCCTAAGTGACGGCATCCCAAATGTGAGGTCACAACCGTGGAGAATGATCCGGTACATGCAGTCATTGCCGCGCTCCTGGCTGGGCAGTGCGTGTCAAGCACATGTTGCTTGCCTTGAATGAGAATGTCATTTCGGTGATGGGAGCATCATTTAGCGAAGTGCTCGGACACTTCAGGCCAGAACTGTGCTGGCAGTTGGCAACGGTTGAACTACAGATCCCAGATCAACCTGGTGGGTGTCTACTTCTCAAGCACGAGGAACTGTTTTGTTTCAAACTAACCCAACGGCAACGCCAAGTCCTGAGCGTCCTGTTCGAGTTTTGCGCGGGCTTGCAGAATGGACCGAGGCCAGGAACATTTTGGCCTTCGCCGGCCTGGCGCGGCGGGTCGAGGCCCGGGAATCCACTAGACTCGGTCGCCCAGTGGATGAGCTGGGACCCTCGGTTGATTCCGGCGCCACGTTCACCATCGTTGATTTCACCGGATTTGCTTGTGAAGCAGGTGGTTTTGGGATTTATCCTGCGAGCCCTTCTACATAGAGTATATAGGGCCTAAGTCATGATAAACATTACACTCCATTATCATGAGGCAACTTGGTTTGATAGTGTAAAAGACCACATACTATTTTTTCAGGCCCTGAAAGCACCAGAAGAGACGGAATTCCCTGATTAAGCCATTGCGATGTGTGCAGTGGTAGAGAGAAACTGAAGCCCCAGCGATTTCCACATTAGAGGTCCTTTGGCAGGTCAGAAACCCTTTGGCAGTGCCATGAATGACGGGCTTGCTGTTTCCCGCACATGGCATATCACACGTTTGTCAGCGAGGGTAAGGCGACCCCCGCTGAGCGGCACAAAACTCCCTGCCCGCAGCTGTGGACTAGATTCCTGCATGTTCTTGACATGGATTCTGCCGTTCAGGTCTTTTCTTCTACCCTTTGGCACTCTTCAGGTTGTTCCGCTGATAATTTGGGGCTCCAAACTTGACTGCTATGGGGAAAGCGGGGGGTTTTCCACTAGACGCACAACATGTTAAACTTTTTGCAGAGGGGTCAGCAACAACCAAGCAAACGCCAGGATCTACTGGCCCTTCGGCCACGGCAGGTTCTCATCGGACACAGCCTCTACGTGCTGCCAAGGCTGCAGCGCCGCTTTGGGGGCGTCCCGAGCTCAGCCGCGGCCAGACAAAGCGAGAGGAAAGAATGCTTGGCTTGGATGAATCCATGGGGAACTATCAGAAGGCGGGGGCCTTTGTCGTAGTAGTGCTTTTATGTAGCTTCCTCCGGAAATCCGGTGGTACCTTGGCAAGGCGAAAAACCGGGGCTTGCAGCCCCATGTTGATGACAGAGGACTTGGGTTGTTGTGGCGTTCCGCTGGTTTGGATATGGCGTTTTCAAAATATGGGTACTCCCTGCTCGATTAGCACTCTTATCCTTTTTGATGGCTGTAAGCACTCGGCAACCCAGTAGCATTCAGTAGCTTGTTGAAGCACAATGTGATACAATACGTGGGCTTTCCATGGGGACATGTCAATTAGACCTGGGTGAGCCAAAGGAAGTCCATGGTGTACGTTTTATGTTGCGCCTCAAACTTGGGCTCTTTCTCCAACATGACTGAGGCCACTGATACGGATGGGGTCATGGCACCGCGCAAGGTCTTCATGGACTCGCGCGGCTCGAGATATGTGCGGAGCCCCAAGGGGCGCTTTTGGGCCATACCAATAGCGGGACAGACGTTGCGCTCGGCTACGCGCCGGTGGCACAAAAACATGGCCCGCAAAAAGGGGTGTTCAGCATGTGTTCAGTAGGGTCTCTGCATAAATTTCAATAGTGCGCGGGAAGAGCGCAATTGTGTTTTGATTAGATTGTTTCAGGTGAGCGTTCATGCCTGTCTGTGTTTGCGCGTGTATGTGCGTATGGTTTGCGTGCGTGTGTGTGTGTGCCGAGCTTCTGGACCATTTGAGTGGAAATAACAAACCCCACCTGTTGATTGAGAATTAATCACACTCGGAAACCCTCACAGAAGGTACTCGCACTGTGAAAGCCTCAATGCTGCCAGATCCACAAGTGTGAAGATGTGAGTGTTTTTTGGCAGGAGCTTGTCCATAAAGAGCCTTGCTTTGGTCCCAACTGACAGCCGTGCCAACAGTCGGGGTCCCAAGTTCCCAAGTGCTATCTTTGATCCCCATTTGTTTGGCAGGTTCCCTTTGAACCCACCCCAAACAACCTGCCCAACTCCCCCAAAAAAGAAACCCGCATTTTGCTCGAGGTGCCACTTCCCATCTCCTGGGCTCCCAGGAAGAAAAAAGAAGAAGCAAAACGGAGAATGAGAAGTATAAGGGAAGAAGAAAGGAGGAACAAGGGGGGAACAAACCAAAAAAAGGAAACGTGGAACAAAAACAAAATACAAAAACAAACAAAACACGTGGAACCAAAAAAACACAAACAAAAAGCAAGAAAAACACAGGACAGGCCCCCGAAAAAGGTCGTCCCCGCAAGGACCGGGAACTGGAGCTCATGGAGGAGGCGGATCTGCTGGAGCCGGGAGCTGAGCGGCTGAGCGCTTCCCGGCGCAGCTCTCAAGAAGCCACCTCCCCATTTTTGGGATGGGTTCCAAGAAGCCATCTGGTTTTGTCTTGGTTGTTGTTTTTTTCTCCACCTTTTTTTTGTCTTAAACGCCATGGTTTCAGAGGGAAATCAGAGAGTTGCGCCCATGAATTGTGGGATCCCGGAATGTTGGAACTTTCGCATGGTTTCAAAGGGAAATCAGTTAGCTACACCCATTGATTCGCGGGGGTCAGGACCCCTAGTTGTTGCGAGTTCCAGAGTTTTTTTTCCTGCTGAGCAAAATTGACGATTTCGTGCTTGTGTAGTGATTCGCGAATGGTCCCCGTTGTTCAGCCAACCCAGTTGTTCAGAGGGGTTCACCCTTTCACTTCCTTTTTGTTTGCTGAGTTTGGGACACACTCAGCATGAAATCAGCACAAGAATTGGTTCCATATGTTTTCTGACATCCTCAAATATTCCCCCTCAACAAAATGTTTAACATGGCTAGTGAGTTTCCATGACATGCCGTTGCCTGCGGGCGCAGGTGACACCCAATCATTCAAGTGAACAGACTTTCCGTTCATCCCTTTTGCTTGTAGCTTGTCGGGAATTCTCAACTTTTTATACTTGTTACTTGTTTCAACATGCTTAAACAGGTGGCGGGCCCAATCCTGGTCCGGACTGACTCAATGTAGAGTCACCGTTTGGGCTAGGACAAGTTGTGCACATCAAGCCGTGTACTTTTGGAGGCCTTTTGTTGGGAGTAGGCCAAGAGTTTGTTTTAATTCTTCGTCAAGTGGAGCAGCAGGTGGATTCTGTTTGAGCCGGGTGTTCCGATTGGTTTCCTCTTGGCCCGATTCTTTTTCCAGACTCAGAACATGTGCTTGTTTTATGCGGTGGAGCTGTTCACTAGGGAACGAACCAGTGGTTCACATGCCGGAAGGGGCGCGTGCATCTACACTTGGTACATCATAAAAGGCGAACTACAACCATGGAAGCCGATCGAAGGGTTTGTTTTTTGGGGAAGGCCCTGACATAGTAAAACATGTTTGTTGGAACCTCACCCCTCCGAGTAAGATGGAACCCAAGAAATGGGTCTCTCAAAATCAGACTCCTTTGAAGAATGCAAAAGGGTGGATTCCCTGCTGTGGGTGGCCAAAATCCTGCACCACTTTGAATCCATGAGAAGCTAAATTTGTTTGTTGCTATTTATAGGGGAATCATCCGAGGCCAGGGTTTCTGAACGGTGGTGCGAACTGGATTTCGCAACCATCCGCAGGATCAACCAAGGTCGGAGACTGCCCTTCCCAACTCTTTGCACTGGTCCCGGCTCCGAGTGGCTGAGTGGCCGAGGCCCGGGGCTGTCATTGTGGCAGACAATGTCCTCAAGCCTGGGGCGCCATTGTTTTTGTGGCGCATAACAAGGCCACGGGGAGAGGAAGGCAGAAGCAGGGGGGTGGGTTAGTTGCTTAGGTTAGGTTGGTTTCACCTAAGGCTCAACGTTACAACGAGTGCGGCTGAGTAGGCCGAGTGTCAAGCTTGTTTCCCTGCATCAAGGGCCAGAATCTAACCAACCCTCGGCTTTGGAAGCCGCGACGTTCTGCAACTTCAGGCGCCTGGTCCCCAGAAGGAGGGGCAGGTCTCGCAAAGCCAAGGGCCGACAGAGTTGGAGGTGCCTTGGGAGTTGAGCTTGGGCCTATGCAGCATGCTTCGTTTTCGCATGTTGCGTAGCTGAAGATACCCCCCACGCAATCTTGCACTGAGCCAGCTGAACGGCTTCTCAAATTCTGGCGTTTGGTTGCTTAGGAGTCCCTATATTTATGGTTGTGGTTTTAAGCACCTGTTGTCCTATGTAAGGCGATTTGTTTAGGGGCCTAGGTGCATGTTTCAATGTAGGGCACCTTGTTGCCGGGATTAGCCAGGTCATTTTGCTCAATTCTCCAAGGATAACCTTAGACCGGCAATGCCCAGAAAGAAACGCTGCGCTTGCAACCTTGATGCTAGGTTTTTGTCCACGACGTTTGCTGTAGAGGTCAAGGAGCCATTGTCCTGAGGTTGGCAAAGCCAATCCATTGAAGGACCCAGCATAGCAAGGTTGACCACAAAGCAAGCTCAACAAACAGCGAAGAATAGACACACAGAACATGGCCACAGGTGGCAGAGGCTCTGAGCTGTGGGTAGGTTCGCTCGGCAGGGACCCCTGCTTCGACACTGAGATCTGCCCAGTGGGTGAGCCCGGGCCTTGGGGTGGGCTTGAGAAAGGTGCGAGGAATCGAGCTGTCCAGTTCAACTGGCTTCAGGTTTACTAGATTTTATTGGGAGAGACAGTTTCTTGTTTCCTTGGGAGGGGGGGGGGGGATGATGTTGTTTTTCCTTTTTTTTAATCTTTTTTTTCTTGGGGCAGGGGGAGGGTGATGGTCCAAATCCAAACCGAAGCGTGGCGGCTTGTATCCCTTGCATGCTTGGAGCATCTTCCGTGGGGTTGTTGTTACAGAGCTCACCAAGCCGACATGTCAATGTGTGGAACTCCAAAAAATATGTTTGAAGCGCAGCTGTGTCGGATTTGGAGCCGGCTTCTTGGTGAAGCCCTCAAACAGGCAAACCAACCATGTGGGAGGGTTCAATCTTAGACCCTGCAATCATTTGTTGCAGGTTGAAAGGGGCATGGAGGCGATGGAGGAAGCCCAGAAAGGCAAAGGGTCAAACATACCAGCTTAGTCTGGCAATGTAGAACGCATCTACTTGTCCAACAATGGTCCGACTCCCCGGTTCCCAGGTCCAAGCCTCCTTCTTTACAAGGAATTTCTCTAAATCAGCCCGCCCAAACGTATCCTTAAAGGATCCATGGTGTTTGATCACCGGCACGTTCTACTTTTTGACAGCTAGACTTAAACCCAGTTCCCTTTTTGGGGGTATATGACCCACCCCTGGGTTTAAGTCTCTTTGGTCGTCAAAAAGTGGATCCCCTACTAAAATAGACTACAGAAAAAAATTGGTGCCAACTTATTCTAACCTCTCCACTAAAGCACCTAGACAAGGAATTCCTCTAAATCAGCTCGCCCAAATGTATCCTTAAAGGATCCATGGTGTTTCATCACCGGCACGTTCTACTTTAAGAAAACCAAGTTCCCTTTTTGGGGGACATCATGGTTGTCGTTGGGAAACATTTTGCATTTTTGCTTATTGTGGCTTAGTGGTTGAAATCCAACCACTTAACTGCCAAAATTTGATAATTTTTGCTCCCCTTCCAACGTCAAGACATGACCCCCCCTGGGTTTTTCAGTCTCTTTGGTCGTCAAAACGTGGACCCCTGTCACCGGTTGGCTTCAGGTTCGCCATGCCGGCGAAGGACTGGGTGTCCGTGAGCGTGTACCGCTCGGGCGGCGCTTCGGCCGCAGGAGGCGCGCGGCCAACATCTATCCAGGATCTCATTTGAAAGAACTCTGGGGTAGACTTAGGATACATTTTACATGTTACCCGTGACTCAAAGTCCCGTTTCAGGCAACAGACGTGGCTGCTGCAAGTTGGGGCACTGACATCGGTGCCCTGTTCAGCCGGTTCGGCTCGCAACCTTCGGTTGCCTCAATCACCAGTTGGCCTCGAAAGCCATGGGCCTTGGACGGAGCAAGATGTGGCAGAGCGAGGCGCCCATGGTGTCAGCCGTGCCTAGATGCATTTGGGACTGGGTGGGGTTCCTTGCTCCCAGCTTCCTTTTTAGTTTAGTGGTTGGATTTGGGGTGGGTTCGGTTGCAGGTTTCGCCAAAAACGGGTACCTGAAAAGAACCCCCCCTGATTCCATTCTGTGCCAGAAGGGTCCTCACAGCAAGTGTTCACCAAGTCAACCCTCCGACGTCTTTGGCCAAAAGGCAGTTGATGGCTGGTTGCTTGTTGTGGCACTAGTGCATGATTGCTAGACCAGCAGGATTCTGATAGCCGCTGATAGCCTTTTCGGGAGGGAAGGTTCTGATGTCTCCCCACTCTGTATCATAGGGGCTGGGGGGGAGGGAGGGGGGGGGGGGGGGAGCCCAAATAAGCCCTAAATAAGGCCTTATTAAGGGCTCAATAAGGGCTCATTTGGGCTCCCTCCCCCCTTCCTCCCTCCCTCCCTCCCAGCTCCCATGACTTTACCACGGATCAAGTACAGTGCACGGTTCAGCAGCATTCCAAACATACTTCGAAAATCACATGGCATAACGTGCGCTCTGTTCAATTCGGACCAAATGGGTCCAAATGCCCTCCCAGCCATTCCCAGACAAGCACGCACTTCGCCCGAGGATCCCTTGAGGCTTTGGTGGGACTCCATTTCAGTCGACCTTGAGACCTCGCACAAAACATCCACAAGTGATGATGCAGAATGCCATGCTGTCGGGGCCCAGTATGTGATACACACGTCTCAGGATTGGTTGCAGACGGGACAGACTGCTCACACCAGCGGACCAATGTTCAATCGGTTCAATCTTGGCTTAACGCCCGAAACAGCTCCTCCGAGTATCGCCTGCTGGTTTAGTTGGCTCACCCAGCCAGTGGACACACTCTACACTTGTTTCCCTGGTGGCTCTCCCTTTTTACTTTTTGGCTGGTCACGGGCCAAGTGAGTTGAATGTTATTTCGGGGTGCCCGGCACGAAGTTTGTGGCAGTGAGACTTTCGATGCTCTCAGGTGCTTGAGGAGGAGCTGCGGCGTCTGCTTCTGGAGTGCCTTCCTGACGAGGAGGTGCCCGTCGCTTTTCCTGAACCCGAACCTGTGAAAATGCGGCGCGCTTTCTTGAGCGCCTTTTTTGGGAGGTGGCAACCCCCCTTTTTCTCACTTCCTGAGTTCATGAACTTTAAACTTTTTGGGAAGACCATTTTAGTGGTAAATATAAAGTTTGGACTTTTTTTGGGCCATCCACTCAGCCAGTGAGTTTTAGAGTCAACTACCCGCTATGGGCGCCTTGGCTTTTGCAGGGGTTCACGCAGGGACCTTGGAATGAGATCCTGTGAAGGCAACCCCAGAAATATCACATATGGAATTCTCCCAGCGGATATCCCAGGACAGTTCTCTAAAAACATGTTTTGCGGGTTACAGTGTGGTTTTCAGTTGTGGGGTATGCCCTCTCCCTCTGAAGGCAGCAATATTTCCGTCCGTTTTAGCCTTCCCTTTCCACCCAGCCCGAAAGGAGAGACACATTCAGGGACATGACTGCAGGAGCTTGTGACGGTGTCTTGGCTAAGCGGCTTGCCCTTCGTTTCCAATTGTGGGGCAGCTCGCGTTTCGCTTTGGTGACAAAGCGGGAACCCCGCCATCGACTGCGCCATGACCGCTGACAACCTTTGGAGAGTGCTTGCCAGGAGAGACAATATATATATATATAGATCAAGTGAGATAGAGCCGTTTTCCATTGTATCTATGTTTCACCCACAATCAGGCAGAGTTAATGCATCTCAAAGAAAGTTGCTAAGGGGCTCGGGCGATGAAACGGTTCCATGCCTCCACGTGCTCCAGGAGGCTTTGTGCAAGATGGGCTTTCAGCACTGCACGGAGTACAAGGATGGCCATAGCTACATGGAAGGCGCTGGGGGGGGGCAGACGCGGTGTGCTTGGTTGATCCCATATGAATTTAAACCCCAGTTTATTAATACTTTCCCCCTCCAACAGTGATGATTCCCCACTAATTAAACCCCAGCATTGCCCTTTCCTGGTCTTCCTTGGACGGATTGGGCGCCCTTTGCCGTGGTTCCACTCCGAAGGAGCACATGCAACAACCTTTTTGGCCATGTATGTGTTTTTATTCGGGCTTAAACCATCCCTGAGGTACGTGACAACAGTCCTTGATGACATGTTATACATTCACCCAGAAACGCATGTTCTTAGGATTCTCTGGCTGATCCAAAAGCAGCAGTTAATTCTCAAGGTTGTCCTTTTTGTTGGAAGACATGGCGTGTGCACTTGCAGGGTGCACCACAATCAAATATGCATATTGATTGCATTGCTGAGCCTCCCTTTGGCGCCCCTTTCGTCAAGCCACACTGGGCTGGTCACAATTGAGGATTGGATTTCCAATCCGAATCCGTCCTAGGGTGTACCCCATTTTGGAAATTTGTTGTTTTGCAGCAAACTGGGGTACACCCTAGTACATCACATGAGCCCTGGAACATGTTTCTGGCATGCGTGTGGGCAGATGTTGGTGGGAAGCTGCAGGGCCCCCCCCCCCCAAGAGAACTGGAAGACCGGAAGCAGCGTGTTTTCCAGCATGTTTCATTGCCAGATTTGGCTTGTCGTTTTTCCAGGGCCTTTCTAGAGTCCTTCAAAACATTTGTTGGATCAGTATGGACCAAACTTGCAGACATGGCTTGAACAGTTCCAGGCAATTGAGAGTTTTCCAGGTTTCTTTCTTATTCAAAAATGCGGGTTGGTTCGGCGCCCTGACGATTCGAGGATCTCCCGTGAACACCCCCAGTTTTTCTCCCACGGAGGCTACTTCCACGCCCTGCCCCACTCAGCTGCCAGCAGCTCGCCTAAATGGGGGAGCGGGGGGGGGGTTGGGAGTGCTTGGGTGGAGAGGGATTGTAAGTTTTGAGAAGTTTGGCCTAAATGTTCAGTGCCACTTGTGGATGTCCCGTTTGTCCGATCCGATTGAGATTTGTTTTGGGAGTCCCCTCATCGAAACTGTGCGAGCTGCGGTATAGATATGCGAGGAGCAAATGCCAGGGGCCGATCCCGAGACGGTGACCATCGGGGTTGCAGATGAAGCAGATGTCTTGGGGGCAACCATTTACCCAGATCATGAAACATACCTTGTTGGGGGGGGGGTTCTTCAAATCACCTACCCAAAAATAGAATCCTCTACTTGTTGGGTGCTCAGTGGGGAATGAGGGAATGAAGCAAGAGTTCTTAAAGGAAACCAGTTGGATAATTATTATAAGGCTCATTCCATTTCTCATTCCCTGCATCTCTCGCAGCAAGCCGAACCCAGCCAAACCAACACCCAACCAATGGAAGCCAATTGACTTGGGAGCGGCAAAAGTTTCTGGGGACCCCAGGAAAGCCGCCCAAGCACGTTGACTCCTCCGAGGCGTGGAGTCCATCCACCCACGGCACATGCGCCGGAAGCTGCGGCGAGCAGCTGCGCCTCTGCCGCTGCGGGCCTTCATTGAGGTCACGGATGAGGGTGGAGGGTGGGTGGGTTGATGTGGGGTGCGCACGTGGGGGGTTTGGAGTGTTCTTTGCGGCCAGTGCGTTTCTTTGTGGGTTAGTTTGGGGTTGATTCGTCGGCTTATTTTTGGCTTAGTTTGGTTGAAACCGGATTTGTTTGGCTTCGGTTTGTCCAACCAGGTTGGTTTTGGAGGTTGACTGGCTTCAGTTTGTCCAACCAGGTTGGCTTGGGAGGTTTAATTAGTGGTTTCAGTTTGGTCCCAATGATTTATTTACCAATGTCATCTAGTTGTCCACCAGGGCACGCTTGATTTATACACATCGGATCACATCGGCGACGGGCATTGGGCATAGAGAAATGGCCAGGGTTTCGTTTAAAGGAACGCATGGGTAAAGATTAAAGTTTGACCACTGGATAATGGTAGTCAAGGCGCAAAGCGCAACTGGTTTGGGCTGTTCAAAGGCAAGCCATATTTAAAAGTCTGAAGTCTTTGATTGGCGCTCGGTACTCATGTTCAGATCAGGATTCAGGAAAGTCGCGTTGGCCAACCAACTTCCATTTTGCGGAGACACTTTTCGGGGCGACTATTTTAGTAGCTGAAGCAACCCCGTTGGCTTCTTTTTTCGCCAATCTACAGAAGTGAGCACATTTTGGCACATTTTTCTCCCTTTACCTATCGATCAGCCGCTGTCTCGGGCAGGCGGTGCGGCGCTGCAACCGCCTTTCGCTGGAGGCCATGCAGGCGGAGCTGCGGAGGCGCAGCGAGGGGTAGTGGGGGAAGGGGGGGTGGCATGCGGCAATGGGGCCGACCACCTACCAACTAGCGAGCTCACCGATTCGGGGGTATAACGAGCGAAAGCCATTCTTACTTGGGGATGCAATTCTTAGTGCAGCTTTTGGCTTTTGGAATTATAGTAAAGCTTGCAGAAGATTTTGCCCATCAGCAGTAGGGATGACCATGGGCCGATGAGATTGATAACCTCACACCTCAGGCCGATGTTTTTGTGACCGAGCAAGGTGCCCCGCTTGATTTCCTGTCATTGCAGCATGTGATTTCGGACTCCAGTGGAGTGTGCATTGTGTCGCTCAAGCAAGCTCAGCCTTTTCTCCAGTGTGCCAAGAAACTATCGGCCTACCCCCTTGGGCTTTTTGTGCTTGAGTCGCCTTCGCAGATCAGCACTGGTTTCGAGTCTACCGCCTGCAGCCTTCCTGCCAAAACCAAGGATGGTGCCAATATCATTCTCCTTGGCACGCTTGTCCAGATTGGAGACGCTAAGGTGATCAGGTTCACTCCGCCAGATGCCTGCAAGGTTATGCCGCCATCAAGTAGTGCCTTCAAGGTCACAGCCCACCGTGTGCATTTCACCAGCCAGGAATGGAGCGACTTTTCGGCGCATCCGGTTAGGTCAGCCATCGCCAAAATCCCAACGCTTGCGGCCGACAGCAAGAAGTTGATTGACTACTGGGGTCATCGCCACACGAGCAATCAGTACAGTTTCAAGATTAGGGTGAACGAATCAGTCAGTGCGCAAGTCAGACGAGACTCTGGCAGCATGCTCATCTTTCTTGATGACCTGCCTGATGAAGTTGGTCAGAAACACAACTGGGTCGTTGTTTGGCTCCCTGACCACACACTAGATCAGATCAAAGCTAAGGCCCAGATGCACTCCACTTCCAGTGGCATTGTTGTCAAGAACCCAGGGCCGGCTCAGATCTTTGGTCTCCGTGTTCTTGCAAAGCATGCCGTAGAGCTTCGACTTGGGGTTGATCCGAAAGCTGCCAAGAATGATGGATACGTCCCCATAGGTAGGCACTTCATTCTTCAGCCACTGCCTGCAGGATGTGACCAGGAAACGATTGCGCAGATCCTTGCCTCAGTCAAATGGAATGCCAGACCATTGAAACCTGCTGGACGCCACTCGTACCGGGTCGGGTCCTCTGAGGATCCACCATGTGACCGCATCCAGCACGTCATAGGCGATATCCTCATTGAAGAGGTGCCCAAGCCAGGTGAGAAGCGTAGGAACCCTCAGTCAAGTGGGCAGGTTTTTGTTCACTCCGCATCCGCTGTCACCAATCCCACTAGCGCTAATCCAGCAGCAGCAGTGCCTCGCATCAGTGATGTTGAGGAGAGATTTGCCACCCGGCTTGCCGAAGTTGAGAAACGTCTTGAGGCCAAAGTCGACACTCTGTCTCAGGGCTTCAGCTCATCCATCCAGGGGCAGAAGACCGAGATTGCTGCTGTTCGACATGAGGTCCAAGTCACCCAGCAGGAAGTTGCCAAACTTCATGCCGGAAATGCAGACATCAGCAGCAACTTGCAGAGACTTGCCGCCGCATTTGAGGCCCAGTCAAAGCAGCTCAGTGAGCTAATCAGTGCCGCATCCTCCGAGCACGTGCACAAGGTCCGGGTTACCAAACCCGAGACCTGACGGTGGCAACACGACCTGGGCGAGTTTGGCATTGTCCGGGCTCGTGTCCACATTGTAGTTGCCATCTTTTGGTTTATGTGTTCACCTCCACACTTGCAACCGGATCTGATTTGCAAGCTTGATCCGCGGAAAAAAGCATGCCATCTTTCAGAGGAAAGCTGGCAGGGGCTTTATCCTGGTAGTGATCTCTCTTGTGCTGATCTTGAGTTGTGGGTTTTCATCCATATGGCTAATAATGCCACTTTTTGCCGGGCTCCTGCTCAACATTTCCCTTTTTGCATTTCCATCACCATGACCGAACCATTCGTAAGCCAGCAGTGCCAGTGTCGAGCACCGCTTGACATTAGTGTCCTTTGCACTTCATGCCATTCTTCACATGCGGCGGTACTCCAAAGGACCCGCAACAAGTGCATGCATAGCGTGAACGGAAATATTGGGTGGATTCCTGTTGCCAATCCCACTTCGCTTCATTGCAACCTCGATGAGGTCCTGGCACTAGGGAAAGGATGTACCTGCCTAGCTGAAACCTCGCACACGGAAAGCAAAGCCAGAGCCATCGACTCCAAATCCCGAGCGGCTGGATTTTTCAGTGTGTTAGGACCACCAGTCCCTATGGTGCAAGGTGAGCAACGCCTCTCACCCATGCATGCGGGAGTTGGCACTATCAGCACTTATCCGATCTGGCCAACCCCTGGAGTACCAGGCTGGGCTAACTCTCATCGAACCCTTGATGTAATGATACAACCCTGCAGTCAGCTGCAAATTCGGGTCGTCACTTTCTATGGTCTCGCAGCCACGGAAACCAATCCGCAAGCTAGACAAATTAACAATCGTCTCCTTGAAAGCCTGTTGGAAAGCTGGTCCCTCTTCAATGGCCCCATGATTCTCGCGGGTGATTTCAACATGGATTTGTCGGCTGAACCCATTGGCAGCAAACTCCAACGAGCTGGATGGACAGATTGCGCACAGCACTTCGCCATCAGTAAAGGCTCTGAAGCTCCGAAAACATATAAGTGCCAGACGAGGATTGACCAAATCTGGGCAAATCACTCAGCGCTCACCTTTGTCTCAGGAGTCAACACCGTTGTGGACGCCCCGCTGCATGGGCACGCGCCTGTGGAGTGTGTCTTTGAGTGGCCGACCACACCAATCCCTGCAATGGTTTGGCCAAGTGGCCCCAGTCTTGTGCAGTGTGACACGCATGTTGATATGGACTACCCTTGGAATTTCACCCCAGAGGTCAGACCAGACAATGGGGCCTCGCTAGACTCCCGGTTTCAGCGTTGGAGTGCCGCGGCCGAAAAGTGGCTCGGCGGTGCGGTTGGAGCGGCTCGACCAGATCGCCCCAAAAAAGCTGTGCACAGCACCACGCACCCTAAGCCAATTACCCTTATTTCGCTGCCGCCTGAGAGACTAGGAGAAATTGACGCAGTTGTAAACTTTTCATGGCACAAAAAACTTGTCGCCCAACATCGTCGACTGCACGCTTGGGACCGCCTAGCGCATGCGCGGTCAACGCGTGCAATCATTGGAGGAACATCTCCAATGGATACGCCTGGACAAACGTGTTCGCGCTTGGCCAGGCAAGGGGGTTTGCTTCACGACATGGATGTCGAAACATGATCCCTGCTTGGATTACAGCTCTCTGCTCCACGGACCCCTCAGCTCACCTGAGCGGGCTCTCCTTAAGCAGAGATTTCTTGATCTTAGCAAAAAAGAAATTTATGCTGAAATTAACCTGCAGCGCAAAACTGTCACCGAAAAGTTCAACAAGGACTGGAATGAAGGAGGGCGGCTCTCCTTCCAAGCCGTCAAGCCACCACGGATCCCACCGGTCCTTGCCCTATCACAGGGAGACCACTGGGTGGCAGAACCAAACGCGCGAGCGGAACTGCTTATCCAGCCATGGGAGAGTATCTGGAACCGGCATAGCCAAGTTCCTCCTGCGGCATGGAACACTGCCCTTGATCTTGTGCTTCCACACCTCCCCACTGTGCCCTTCGCACCAGGTCCAATAACATGGATTGAATGGAAAAAAGCAGTCCGGCGCCTTGGCTCATATACTGCTCCAGGTCTCTGTGGATGGCGGGGCCAGGAGCTTCGCATGCTGCCAGAGAGAGTCGTTGCTCCGATGCTCAAACTCTTCAACGAGGCTGAACAGGCAGGCGAGGGCTTACCCCAGCATCTCCTGTACGCGTCAGTCGCCATGATTGCCAAGTGCTTGAACCCACAAAGTGCTGGAGACTGTCGTCCCATCACTGTCCTTTCTTGCATCTATAGAGCTTGGACATCCGCCAGAGCTGCTTCGCTACAGTCATGGCTCGTCCAGGTAATGCCAGCCAGCATGCGGGGATTCCTCTCAAAGCGTCACCTTGAAGATTTCCTGTACAAACTAGGACTCGATATTGAAGCTGCTCAACAAGGGCTCACCGGACCCCTTTTAGGCATGTCTCTCGACATAACCAAGGCTTTCAATTACATCCCACGCCCTGCCGCGTTCGCCATACTCAACCGGCTTGGCCTTGCACCATGGCTTACGGCATCGTGGGGCCAGAACCTTGCAAGATTAGAAAGGCGGGCCAAAGTCGCTGGCACGTTTAGTCGGGCCGTCAAATCTTGTACGGGTTTCCCAGAGGGGTGTCCATTGTCCCCAGTTGCGATGCTTGCAGTAGGGGCGGTTTGGCATCAGGTGACCAGCCTTCCATCACCTTCGCTGACCATTGATAGCTTTGCTGATAACTTCAACCTCAGCTGCCCAAGTCTCGAGGTACTCCTGCCTGGTCTTGAGTTAGGAATCCAGTTGCTCACCGCACTGGACTTGCACATCAATGCGGCCAAATGTGTAATCTGGACCACCGACAAGTCTCTCAGACCTCAGCTAGACCAGTTTGAGTTCAGTCTTGGTAAACCTACGCACGTTCTTGACGTCCGGGAGCTAGGAGGTCACTTCAGCTTCACCTATGCCACCCGCAATCGGACGGTCAAGCAGCGAATTCAGCAGGCCACTGCTGCTCTTGAGAGGATCCAAAAACTCCCCGCTCCGTTTGCCCGTAAAGTTGGGCTTGTCAGGCGTGCAGCTTTGCCTAAAGCCACCTGGGGGACCCAAATTTCCCGACTGGGGCTGAAAAGGATTGAAAGCCTCACCGCAGCTGCCAAGAATGCTGTAGGTCTCGGCCATGCAGGGGCCTCGCCCTACGTCTGCCTTGCAGTTGTAGTTGACGAAGCCACACACCCTGCGTTTGTCATACATAGGAACCGCATCCAGGCGTTCTGGAGATGGCTACGTAGCCATGATAGAGACAAACATGACTTGGGGCTGCTCTGGCAGGCTTACCAGGTTCGTGAAGTTGACGGGCCTGTTAGTCTTCTTGGTGAATCTCTTGACGCGTGTGACCTTGATCTAGATGAGCACCTTCAGTTACTCGCAGACCATGGTACGCTAGATCTCAGCACTGCGCCCTGGAGAGCGGTTTACCTTCTCATTGTCCGCGGTTTCCATCAAGCAGAAGGCCGGAACCTTGCCCACCGAAGAATACTAGGTCAAGTAGGCTTAATCAATGTCGATCTTTTCCGGTCTGGGCTTAAAGGTTTGAGTGAGGAACATCAGGGGCTTGTCCGAGTTGCGGCTACAGGGGCGCGTTTTGAACATGCCGAGATCGCTCGTTTCTCGGACAAGTTCGACGAGATGTGCCGACTTTGTGGCGAGCTAGACACACGCTCCCATAGGCTGACCAGCTGCCCGGCAACCGAGCATGTGCGGGAAAGACACCGTGAAGTCCTTGAAAAATGGGATTCCTTCCCTGAACCCTTGAAACTTCACCTGTTACCTTCCGAGGCCCCCTTCCGAGGTGAGTTTCTCAGTAGGCTTGGCTCTGTTCCACCACCAGACATTGTGCGCCGGCCTCCTGGTCCTAAAACTATTTGGTTTACCGATGCCAGTGGAAAAAATCCTGCTTCAAGGTTTTCTCTTGTCTCATTTGCGGGAGTGTGTATTGACCCCGACACTAGTCAGGTCACCAGCAGCTTCCAAGGGATTCTACCAGGGATCCTGCAAAGTGTTGATCGAGGCGAGATACTTGCCATCATAGGCACACTGCAGCGTGTCCATCACTGCGACATTTACACCGATTCCAAATACGCAGCGGACTTTTTCAACCTCCTGTTAGCCCAAGGTTGGCAGGAAGAATTCAAGGTTCGTCCAAATGCAGACCTCCTCACACTTGGTGCCACGGCCCTTGGCACGCGAACATCGAATGAGGTCCGCATTCAATGGGTAAAAGCTCACCGGTCCATACACACCGCCATTTCTGGAGCCGATGCTTTCCGGATCCGGGGCAACGCTTTAGCAGATGCCGAAGCGAATGAAGCGTACGACTTGTGGGATAGTCACACCCGTGATTTAGCTGTCCAAGGCATAAAAACAGACCAACGAGCACTGAAGGATTGGCATCAGCTTGCCGCCCTTCACATCCAGGTTGCAAAAATCTTTGCCCAAAAAGTTGCACCTTCCCGGCGTGAAGCAATGCCACAGCAAGGACCACCTGCCACGATTGGGCAGCTACGTTTTGTTAATTGTGGGAACATCCCAGCTTTCCGAACTATCTTCCCTGCAGACTTCTTGTGGCACTTTTGCGTCTTTATTGCACACTTGCAATGGCATGATCAGCAGGCGCAGCATGGAAGTGGTACGCCCCTTGTTCTACTTTGCTTGCTTTTCTACCTCCAGACCGGTTGCACGATGCCGATACGGGATCGTACTACTTGGCATTGGCGCACACGCTCAGACCAGAGCATCCGCCGACAGGCCTGCACGCTCCTCATAGTTTTGCGTACTCTTAGTGAAACTCTTGGCCGCGAAATAGTCCCAGGGTTGAGATCTTTCTTTAAAAAGGTTCGCCCGGTCCATCCACTTGATGACGAGATCAAATGGGCCATTGTTCCTTACCATCTTGAAAAATCCTGCTTTGACAAAGCCTTGACACTCGCTTGTGAGCTGCACGCAAAGCAGCTACTTTGGACTGCTAAAGGCCTGCCGGCCAGGCAAGTCACCCTTTCAGGACACTTTGCACCAGCCAAACCTGAGGTTCCCATCCTTAGGCCAGATTTTTGCGACGCTGAATGGTGTCAGACTGCGGCACCGCCGCCTCGAGAGGCCCTGGTGCGTGCCTTTTTCCGGGGCGGTGGGCGTTGATGGTTTTTTCGGCTCGGGGTTTTGGTTTTTGGGGGTTGCCTTCCGGGTCCCCCCTGTTCCCCTTTTTTGCGCTCGGCCACCGCTTTCGCGGGAATCCCTGTACACTCTTGTACACCTGCTTCATCTAAGCTCCGGCGATTCGCCGCGTAGCGATGTAGCTTGAATCCACTGTGTTGCGGCAATAAGCCCAACACCAGCGAGGACGGAGGGATGACCATGGGCCCTCGCAGAACTTAGAGAACCATTGCAACAAACATCCCTATGATGGGAAGCCAAGACCATGCCCCGCAGAAGGAGCTTCCGTGCTTACTATGATTCCGTCTTCTTGTCCCCCTTGTGAAGGTGTTGTGTATTTGCGTTGGTTATACTAAAGACGTGGTCATCCCTTTAAACAACAAAACGAACAAATGAAGGAACCCTCCAAATGAGAGGTGGTCCGATTGAATCCCCTTTGCAAACCACCCCCCAAAAAGCAGACCCATTTGATGCGTCCTCTGCTTCCCGGGCCGATCCTGAGGTTCTTCTTGGGAGATGAAAGCCCAAACAAACATCAAAGCTGCCATGACACGCTAAAAGTGCGACTTACAACAAAAGATTTCCTTTCAGCAGTTGCCCAAAGGGACACTTCCCATTTTGAAGGCTCCCCCAGAGATGTTGCATTCAAGGGCGCACGGTTTACCTCCAGCGAGGTCCGGCGAAGGCAAGCACCTGGCTGACGTGCTGGCGCGGTCCGCGCACTTCGCCGACCTGCCGCACGGCCATCGCCGAGCGCAGTTTCCATGTGCCCCTTTCGGATCTCGTGGCCGTGCGTTTTTTGGGTAACAAAGGGAACTAGGGTCCTGGATCTCTTGTGACAATTGATATTTTGACAAAAAAAGTGACGGACCCCCTTTGAAGCGTTTAGCCAACCAAGAGTATTTATTCCCGCTGATTCATGATATTTCGCCCGAGGACAGAGAGGCTGTCACTGTAGAAGGACTAGCCAATGAAAGCCTAAACTCGACTCGACTGATAACTGACTTTAAGTGGTAAATTGAGTCACTGGGTGAAGCAAGATTGTCAACCAGGCTGCATGCTGCTTGTTGCGTGACCCATGGACAAACTCGCGCTGAGGTCAATTCAGATCCACTGGGGAGAGGAGGTACTGGCAGCGCCTCGACCCACGCAAAGGAGGTGTCACAGGGTGTGGGGTTTGCACTACTTTTAAGGGGAACACCCTGAAATACTTCGAGGTCAACAGCATTCCAAGTTGCGGATAGCCCATATTTGTTGCTGAGAAAATTTGGGGGTTTTGCCACATCGGTCTGGGAAACCTAGTGCGGTTCAGGAGGTGGCAAAGCCCAACTATGGGTTTTGAACGCCGCGTCACGGCTAGCGGATTGATGAGGGAGTTCCCCAAAGACGAGAGTGGGCCTCGTTTTGTTCATAGCTGTGAGGATTGGTTCGGGCCTGATATCTAACCATTGCATTTCAGTGGCTGTGGGCTGACTGGCTGGCTGGCTTGGTGGGTGGGTGGTGTGGCGCTTGCCCTTCCAACCGGCAGCAAGAGAAATGGCAGATCCATGCAAATGCGGCCAGCCACTCCAGGCGTGTTTTGATGTGATGACACGTGCCTCGCGGCCTCGAGCGTTCGGTCGCTCAGGAGGAGGCGATGTGGCACGTTGCCGCCAGGATGCAACTAGCGCCCGAGGAAGCCGAAGCAACCTGACGGCCCCCGCTTCAGCACTGTAGGGGGGGAGCAAGTCCAAAACAATCAAGGCTGTCTATGCAATTTTTCCGGGTCGTCGAACAACATAAGCAGGGGGAGTGACAACAACAAGGGTCCCTCTTTCGGACCCTGCTGACATTTGGCGCTTCCTTTGTCAAGGACCAAACGGGTCGCCACTTTGATCAGGCCCCAAAGTGGGCGCACACAACCAGGACGCGGCGAACTCCTTCCTCCACATGGCCGTGGGCCTGCAGGGCCGCCGCGCCCTTCATGCGAAGCGCGCGCGCCGCGCCTTGGCCGGGCTTCTTTGCTGGGATTTGGATTTGTTTTTTTGCACGCTCCCATCCAGCAACGTGGAATCCGCAGCATTTTGTCAGGCTCCAAAAGCACCAAGTGTAGAGGAGTTTGCTTTTGGGATAGGAACCCTTTTTTAGGAGATCAACGTTGGCTTGCAGGGGGATAATATGATTGCACGATAGTACCCTCGTGTTGTGCCTTGTTTTGGTAGAAGGGCATTTGCGCTATGCACCCATGGAATTCTGCAGGTTGGGCTGCTGGGAGGACAAAAAACATGACAACTACTGACTGCTTAATATATGTGTCCATCAGATCTCCAGAGATTCTCTACCCTGGGTTGTATCCCACATTGCATAGCATGAGGTTTCCAAGCCAACAATTGCCCACTAATCCTACGCCTGAATGCGGCATGACAACAGAAAGAGCAGAGGCTGGCACAGTGCCACCCACCATTCAGCTTGAGGCCGGCACCTTTTCGGATTGAGGGATTAGTTCGGCAAGTAGCTTGATCTCCAAGCCGTCAGTTTCGAGGATGTGCAGAGGAAATCTCTTAAGATGGTCATGGTTTGGGAGCGCAGGCTACCAGGACACTTCAGCGCTGATTTGCCGTGCGGGCTTTGACACCAGCACGGGCCTAATATGGGGATGGGCTATCATATGGGCCCTAGATGGCTGGCCCACGAAACGAGCCCAGAATGCGTGGGCATTGGTCAGACACCCTCCCATCTTGATTTTTCGACTGCTTCCCGAGCTCCCCAAGAATCCGTTCAGAATCATCCTTTCATCTTCCCCAGCGGATTGCAACAATACAAGTTCCAAGGGCCCAGCCGCGCACACCTGTACACCAGGCCCAAAGATTGGTACATCAAGGGTACACATGTTTAATGCCAACGGCACCTATGAAGTGCGAGGGGGACACCTAGAGCTCGCCTTTTCCTTTGCGGTCCGTCTCGTTGGTGGATGGACCTGGATTTTATTTGGCTCAACTCATTCAGCCTTTTTTCCCAGCAACAGCTATGAAGCTCTGGGCGACTTCCGGGACTGGGGTCCTCAGATTCCCGAACCGTTTTCGGGGTCAGTTCCGGGCAGTTGCGGGCAGTTCGGATAGGCCTCTCCTTGGGCTAAAGGACAAGGCCCGCGCGGCTTTCAGGACGAACTGCGAAAACTGCGGCAGAGCGACTGTGGCAAGAGCCGGGTGCCAGCTATGTGGGCTCTCCCTGCTGCGCCTAGGCTCTTTCAACGCCACTTGGGTGGGGCATTGCCAGTTGTTTAATGGTTCACCCCTGAAATCCTTAAAAATGCGGGTGCTTTCGTGGTCAACTCCAAAAATGCGGTTCCATGTCTTTCTCTTTCAAGGTCACCTGTTGAAGCCTAGGCCCGAGCACTTGCTTGGGCAAATGCGCAGGGCATGAGTGGAAAGCCAGCACTTTGCAACACTTCCATTTGCTTAACAATATGTGTGTTTTTCCTTTGTCGGTTTCAAAGGGAATCTATCACAATTGGAAATATGTCCAGGTGACGCACTCGCAAATGGAGGAAGCACAATGACTGTGGTGATGACTTTTGGCCTCAGGGCTCAACCCGTTGAGCCCCTGAGGCCTTGCCACAGAGACCTAGGCCTCCTGACTTGACGAAGCTGTGCACTTGCATCGCTGAGTGGCCCAAAACCAAACTTTCCAGCTTTTTGATCCTTTCTTGGTTGTCTTCGTATAGTGTGAATGCAGTTTGTCAAACATCAACAAACCGCCCCATTGAACTTCAAAAAGTAAACATCCTTTCTGGATTCCCAAATTGGAATATTTATTTGTCGTCAAACGAAAATCAATTACACAAGCTGCACGTATGCGGAAGGCGAAACTTGTTCCCCAAAGCCCAACTTGTTTAGTTTTGGAACCGCTTGGGTGTTTCAGGAGTTTCCAGCAACGAAGAGGCCATCGAGTCTCCGTTTCAAGTTTTGGCTTCCCTTCAACCCCAGCGATTCCATTTGTCCATGTAGGTAATCAGGGGAACCTCAGAGGCAATGGCTTGGCCTGGCCTGGGATCCATTGGACCTCCCCAAATGAGCAGCAGACAATATTGCTGGGGTATAGCTTTTGGCTGGTCCCTACCGGTTTTCCAGGTTGACGGGTATCGGTTTTGAGTGGCCCATTGCCTGTTGGTTTTTGGTACTAGTGTCTGTTAACTACTCAAGTTGGTTTGTGAAAATAAAGCGTCCCGAAACTGGTGGGATTCCATGTTTTCCCTTTAAAACCACCCCATATACCCTCAACACTCAGAAAATCACCCAACCCCCGGTCCGGCGCAAGGCTACCCGCACGCCGTGGAGTATCCAGAGGTCACCTGGGACCGGCGCATCGTGGCAGTTCAGTGCCGTCTGCTGCTGACGGAAGAGGAGATGCGGCGCGAGCTCAAAGGATCGAGCGTTGTGCGGGGTCAGTACTGTGGATGGACACAATCCTGCACCACTTTGAACCATGGTTGAAACCATTGTTTCTTGGTATTTACAGGGGAATCATCCTTCCAGGGCTTCTTAGGCAGTGCAGGATTTCGTCCATCCACGGTATTTTGACTGTTTCTGGGGGGTTGTCCAAGTTGCTTCCCTTGACCACTTAGGAGGTGACTTTGATCACGGTTAAATAATGAGGCCAGTGTGCTAAAACGAGGATCCCTTGACTGGGTCATTGTTTAGCTTGCTGGTGCGCTAGGTAGGGAATGTTGGAAACCGAGGGATTTCCGTAAAGGCAACCATAGGGGATGGTTTATAGGGGGGCATTCCCTCATTCCCTGCTGAGCACCAGCAGGTTTGTGCCATGTTTCATCTTTGCCCTTGAAACTGATGAGCAAAGAAAATGCATAAATCCGAGGTTTAGGGTTAAACCTTGACCGAGCCGAGGGAATTGTGAAACGGAATAACAACCAGAACGCCAATCATGCTGGGTGATTCCCCTGTTTTTGACACGACTCATACATTTCAATTGCCGCACGCATGTCCCATGGCTTGTGGTTGGTTTACTTGTTGCACATGTAGGGCATCAACTGTAACAGCGACCCTGTGCTTGCCCAATGGCGTTCTGGTTGAGTTCCTGCTGTGAACTCTTTGTGAGGAAGATTGGTGTCCTGGGCCTTACTTGGAACAATACCCTCATGCGGGGATTTTCCAGGTGCGAGTTGGGGCAGAGCAAGTGAAGGCATGTGAAGGCGGAACTCTGTGGCCCTTTGAACCGCAAGTGAGATTTGAGGTTGGCGATGCCCAAGGCGTGTTGGCATATCAAACATGGGTCGCGAAGTCCAACGTTTTGCACAATGAGCCTACTCTTGTGGCCATTGGTTGCCAGCGTTCGCGTTAAAACCCAGGTTTGGAGACCGGCAGAATCTCAGCCTCTTGCGACTCGGAATGAAACCCCTCACGCAGGTATGCAAGGGTCTCTGAGGTATGCCAAAGTTAAGTTTCCTTAGGCTTGGGTACAGTGGGCATGGGCCATTTTGGAACAAACGCAGCGGCAACTACCCTGAGATATAGTCATTCAAACCAGCTTGACTCAAAACTGCTACCCATTCATTTGGTTGTCCCAGCAGCGAGTTCTGATGTAGCCAATGCTGGGAGGCTGCTCAGAATGGGCCTCATTTGGTGCAAGTTCTCTGGATAGAGATCATATATAGTCATGGCAGCCCAAAGGGATAATATGTTCTCAAGGAGAGACGACTTCTGAGGGCATTTGGTGGCTTCCTGATCAGCCTGAGAAAGGACAAGCTTACTCACATGGAAGATGACAGGTTTGTTTTGTCATGCCTGCGATAGGCATGCAAAATCAAGGTTATTTTTGGATAAGGTCCTGATGCTTCTTATTTTCGCGGCGGAAGCAGGATTGCCGGCACCCTGAATTCCTTCAGGGACCCATTTGTAAGTTTGTATGGTGTACACCTTAGGAAAGATGAGCACTTGCGCGCCAATCATTGGTCCTTACGCCTTACATGATGGTTTTTCTTGTTGCCATGGTGTCCCACTACGAATTGCGAGTTAGGATTAGGAATCTTGTTGAACAACCCAGCCTATTGTAGCACACCCCGAAAATGTTGCAATATTTTTTTGGGCCAAATTCAGGGCTCCCCATATCTCCCCTTAGAACATCAATCCCACCAAGGGACCCTCACCTTTCCGTGAAATTTCATCAGGGCTGCTAGGTGGCCAAGGCTTTCCGCCCAGGTTGGACACCGACCCTGAGGGCAACACTGCCAGCATCGTGTTCCGCCAGACGGAAGCATGGCCTTTCCGGTTGCCAGGACCCACGGAGTTTGAACGTGGACCGACCCTGTAGGATGTTAGAACTCCATTCCGAGTGCTGCGGATCACTCACGTACATAAAATAATCAGAGCTTCAAACAATGGTAACTGCATTAGCTTGACAGAGATGTTTTGACCGCACAACTCAGCGACCTGACTTGTTAGGCTGGTCCAGTTGCTTGCCTGCTCTCTTGCTTGCTTGCTTGCTTGCTTGCCTGCCTGCCTGCCTGCCTGCCTGCCTGCCTGCTTGCTTGCCTCACAAGAGCTATGCCGGCATGGATGCCCCAAAGATACCCTTTGCAGGCATTGGCGCTTTTTCTACGGTGAGGCATGCCACATCCTAGTTCCTTCAGATTTTAGATCTGAGCTTTGAAGCAAAGTCTGACAGTCTTTCCCTGGCAGGGTTGTTCGACTTTAACCCCAGTCTTCCTTTCTGTGGTTGCCAAGGTTAGCTGCATAATTTCTGCGGTTTAAGCAAGTTGCACCGCTCAGAATCGGGCTTCATGTTTCCGGCAAATACTCGCCAGTTTGCCCAAAGGTGTACTGCGAAGTTGCGTGAAGGTCCTGTCCAGCGCATAAAACGGGCGCATCCGGATCCCGCGACAGGATTGGCAGAAGTGCAGGCCGTGATGAAGGAGATGGAGCTGAGCTGAAACGGCTTCGGGGCTTCGGTTGCCGAATGCCCAGCGCATCCAGCGCCCTCGAGCAAAGTCACCCATTGCCCTGGAAGCAGCACGGTGTTGAGATTCCATTTCTTTGTGTTCCAGATTCCTATTGATGTCCCAGACATGCCCAACATCCGCGCTTTGGCTCTAGACGTTGACAAAATTGAGGGCTCAATGATCGAAGTGAACGTTAGTTTAACAGCAACATCCAGAGTTAAGTGCAAGCGGATATCTTGCGGTGGTACCGAACATACAATGCACATGTCAAGTAATGGGGCTGTGCGTTGCTTTCCTTCTATGTAGCAACATCCTTCCAGCCTAAGGCTGCGCTAGTGAATGCGAGAGTACCGTTCGCAATCACAAGTGCCACACTTTTGCATTACCACATCACATATCCCCCCGCTTCACGGCAAAAGGCGAATGCTTGCAAGCTCCTGAACTTGGAAAGCCTACGAACCCCTGGGAGCAGAGGCAGTTTAAGTTCCTCCCAGCCTGGGCAGCCTATTTGACAACCCGCATGCCTTTCGCACTGTGCCGGCCGCAAGCGGACTGGTCCGGGGTCGCTCGGCGGCGAATTGCGGACCATCTCCAAGATGGTCAGGGTGGATTTTGGGCAAGTCATTTCAGGAAGCCAGCAAGGGATGAGGCTAGGAACCACTTGGGACGCGAACCTGCAACCGCCTTGCCCCATAAGCACCAAAGCAAAAGCCTCGCTGGGGGCAATGCCAAGGCTTCCTGGAGTCGGCCGTTTGCCGCTAGCCGTGTACAGCTTCGGCGTGTGAGAAAGTGAGCTGCAGGTTGTCTTCGCATGCTCTGCACTTCTGTCAGCCTGCTTCAAAGGAACGGCTCCTGGAGCTCGTTCCGCATATCATATTGCATCAGCAAACTAAAACGAATGGGCTTATGCTGTTCAACCACGCGTGCGCCACCTGCCAGTAGACTCAGTAGGCCCCTGGTCCGGGATGGTGACTTGTTTCGTATTGATTTGCTGTCATTTGACTTGGGCCGCCGGACAGCCTAGAAAAAAGCCTATTAGATCCTATTAGTTGTTGTGGTGTGTGTATGTGAGCGTTAGGTAGCTTCTTTTGTTTCTTTGTCTGCCTGGTAGTAGCCATCCTTTGTAGCTGACTAGCTGTCTCAGTCTAAAGCCGGCCTTCGAAGATGAGCTTCCAGGCTTCGGTTTTAAGACATTTTTCGTCGCAGAAATGGGAGGTCCAGGCGAGCAAATCTTTTTGTTGGGATCGTGGGCTTGGTTTTCAGCAACAGGAACCCCTTCCAAATGGTGAAGCGCCTAGTGACAGTGCCCCCTTCTGCTTGTTTCAGTCATCACCGTCTTCTGGCCAGTTTGAACACTGGAGGTGGGGTGATGTTTAAAGGCGGTAATTCAAGCAAATTTTTTTGGGTGCCAGGTGCGGGTCCCCCGCGTGAGCTCTGGGACTTGCATGAGGCAGCGGATGCGATGCGCCGGGCACCTCGGGGCTGATCCGATCGGCCGGGAGGGTAGGGGGGACCAAATCGCCCGGTCCGAAAAGGGATCCTTTTTTGAAGTGGCAAAGCTCCCGGAAATGGGAGTGAAGCCAATTGGCATTCGGCCCTTGAAGTAGTAGGGACCCTACATCATCAAAATGGTTTGATCATGTTTGGTCTCTGATTTCCATTTGTCAAATATCCTCCAAAGGACCCGAAACTATAGCTCAAATTTCGGAGGGAGAGACCGATGGTAAAAGCCTGCCTAACTGCTAGATTTGTTGGGTTAGCGGCTTTTTCTTTGTGGAAGCTGGGAACCACTCACCCTAGTCTGCTGCTTGTGGAAGCTGGGAACCACTCACCGAGTCTCCTCTTGATGTGGCACCCTTCAAATCCCATTTCTTCCGACCAAAACATATGCACCCGCCTAAACCTTGGTTCAGGGAGTGTCAAAAACTTGTGAATTACATGTTACATCAACCAGAAGGCCAAGCAAAAATGGTTCCAATTCTCTTCCGCCCCTTTGGTCATGTGCTGCTTCTCCCCCTTTGCACAGCTTCCGATTGATCTGTGGCCGACGGTGGAGTGACCCATCGGAGGCCAGCAAGCCATGGCGCGGGGCAGCGTGACCTATGAGCAATGGGCGGCCTTTGCGCAGGATATGCCTAAGCCTCAGATGGGGCGTTCGGGGGGGAAAAACACAGCCAAGTAATACTGTCGTTCTACATGGTCACACACACACATAGCTATACTACAAATGGTAGTGTAGCAATATTTGTACATAATATCTTGCAGTATAAAATATACGTACAGAAAGGTACTGCATATACATGTATAGAGAAAGTTGAAAGTTACTGTGTTAAGCTTAGTAAAGCCCGACTTGGGTGCGTGCTTTTGGGGAGCTGGTTCCCCTTTTGAGGGTTAAGGCCCTCATGGAGTGCTTGTGGTCATTTGGTTTGGCACGCAGGCAGCCGAGAATGACTCACTTTGTTTTGTCAGGTTCGGTCAGTCTGCATATTGCAAAGAGACGGGCCAGAAATGAGCGCTCAAGAGGGAAAACCCGCCCCCAACTGGTCATCTTCATGACATTTTGTTTCTCAAAAACATTGCTGTGTGTTGGATTTCTCCTTGTATGTGCGACGTTGTTTGTGGGCTTCCTGGTGTTGGTGCTTTTCGGTCCGTGCGCCTTTCGCGGCTTTTGGTGGTTTGAAGCTTCAGCCCAAATCGACCCGAAAACCAGGACTGTTCCAACCTGAAGCGAACCCGAAACCCACTTAAACGCAATCCACCCCCCCCCAAACCAGGCCAATACCCGCCCTCAAACACCAAGCCTACCTGAGACCAACTCTGAATCAACCCTAAGCTTACCTTAAACCGAGCCCTCTTTAAACCGTCCCAACTCTAATCCCAGACGCGGCAACCAACTCTGAACCTGCACCATTTGGCGCCAAACCAATCCTAAACCAATCACCAAGACCAATTTGCCGGCGTGTGTCTTCCCATCAGCCCGCCCTGAACAGAAAAACAACACTATTCATAGCCAAATCTAAACTCGAAAAGCCAGCCCAAACAAGTCCAACTGATATTGACTCAGTTGCTTGCAGAATCTTGCATATGCCGAGGGAGCGACGCCTGGCCGAGCACGGCATTGGGCCAAAGAGCGCTCCCATAGAAAAAGAAAAAACAGTTGCATCAGTAGCAAGGATTATGAGGGATTGGGACCACAATGCCATTTTGGGGTGTCCTTCTGTCTGTGCAGTGTTGTGGGAGGGAAGGGATGAAGTCCACTGTTGTGATGCCGGTTAGCGCTACTCATGTGAATAATTGTGTCATCCGGCAGGCTGCTTCAACCGCAGAGGGTGCACCTTCCTGGGTGGCAGAGTGGGCTCTCCTTTTGCCTTCCATACTCTGGGGTCATTATTTTGACGGTTTCTGGGGGGTTGTCAAAGTCAGGAAATGGGGTTGTTTCACCACTTAGGGGGTGACTTTGATCATGGTAACATAATGAGGCCTGATACTTGGGGCATGCCTTCCGCGGCATCGCGGGCAAAGGACTCTTTTGCGCTTAGTCCAAGCTTTCGAGGTATATCGACGGCTAAGCTGAACCCACCCTGGAAGAGCATAATACAGAAGCAAGGCTAAAGAAAGGGAAAGACCAGGGCAATGCGCAAAATGACAACACGCAAATCCAGGAAAGCTGTTCTTCTGGACTGCGCTTCTGTTGGGGTCAGGGATGGGCAACCCGTTTCGACAGCGTCCCAATAGGCCAAAGCCCAGAAGCCATTGTCACAGTCACTCAAAGCCAGGAGACAACAAGGTGTCATGTCTAGGCATAGTTTCTCCATCAAGTAGGCTGTAGGGTGGAAGCAAAAACTGATGTGACAATCAACTGTTGCCCTTCCAAGGGAAACCCACAGGAGGTTGCTCAATAGGGTTCAACCATCTCAACAAAGCATCCGACTTGTTCCAGCAAACACGGCTTGCACAAAACCCTTTTTGGAAGACTGCGTTCCTTTTGGAAAGGGTGGCTTTGTGCGCTTCCACCATTGTTTGCGAGAGTGTAAGCCATTTTTTGAGCGAGCTGCATGTCTTCGTTGCTTTGGCTGGAGCCCTTAGCCTCAGCGGTTTGGCGCTGATGGGTTGCAGGGCCTTGCGCACCTTGGGCTGCATGGCGTGAGGTTCCTACGGGGCTGGGGCCGTCCTTGTCTCAGAGAAACCTGTTGACATGGTTGTTGTTGGGAAACATTGTGCGCTTTTGCTTGTTGCGGTTTAGTGGGAATTCCCCACTCAACTGCTAAAAGTTGGATGTTTGCTCCCCTTCCAACGTCAACCAAGTTCAGCAAGGAAATGGGGGAAGCAGGGATATTGGAGGACTGCCCTATGACAATTTCTTGGGAATCCTGTATCCAGTTGCCTCCACATGTTTGCCGGTTGGTTGCAGAATTGTCATGGAACCATCGATGAACAATTTCCTGGTTGGGCCCTAGAGGTTGGTCCCAGCGAGGGGATCCTCCACTTTTGGTGACACCTGACTCCTCCAGCTTGATCAGCCCAGGGTTGGCATATTTCTCCTTTGGGACAAGAAGAGGGCATCCGTAGCCAATGTCGAGGCCGGCTGTTGGCCGGTGCCGGGCTGAGGCAGGGATCCGAATCGATGCTCATCCCCTTTTTGGATGGCAGCCCAACAGGTGGCTACATGCATGGCTAGAAAGACTTGCTTGCCTTTGTTTCCCACATGTTGCCTTTCAAGTAGCAAAACCACCACGTGTTGCGGGGTCTAAGTTCGGTACTCAGCATTGCCTGCATTTATTTTGGGGGGACTCGGAGGTGCTGTGTACGCTTGCTTGGCGGTTTCCAGTGAAGAAATCGGTCCCCTGTTGCTGCCTTCACCAGCAAGAGTCGTGCAATCAGCGGGGACGCTTTGGATTGGCACAATGGCGGCAAAGTCCATGATGCCATGCGCCCTTCTTATCTTACAACGCGCTATATAATTCCCTCGCTTCGTCTTCCGCCAAGCATTGGTTGCCGGTACGCAGCCCTTGGTGGTTTGGATCGGTGGCAGGATTTGTTTCCATTATTGTGTGTGTAAACCCAAAGGGCGTTCAGCCCTACCTCCAAACTGGCGCGTGGCGCCTGGCGAACGAAGCTGACCAGAGGGCATTCCAATGGCGGCGCCGTGTGGCCTGCGGCTTGCGGCCTGGGTCACCTGCGCTGCGGCGTGCAGCTCGGGCCAAAGAAGGTGGATCCGTCCTGCGCCTGGATTCCATGGCCCTTGTCCTCCCCTTCTTGTCTTTTTCCCAGGGAGGTCAACCAGCCGAGCATTTCAAGTTGGCTTGGGGGATAGTTGGCAAGCTCACCCATGTCGGGACCGATGTAAAGCCGCATATAGTGCAGGTCCCAGTTGGTAAGATTGTGGTAATTATGAAGGATGTGGACCAACGGAGATCCAAGAGATGATGTGTACAATGCGTGAGTTGGTTGCTGTTTCTGGGGATGCCGCTTTCACTCTCAACGCGGCTTCCGCCATGCTTGAGCCGAAAGATAGCATGGCGATCTGGACTTGATATCCGAAAAGCACGGGGTGGCTCCCCTGTTTGAGTTTGTTCGACTTCACTTGGTACTAAAACGTTTGTGCCTATCCTGTTTCCGTGTTCTTTTTGTTCTAGCTTGGCTCTTAGAATGACCCTCTTCCAGCCATAGATGGATCCTTGTAAGAAGCGAGTTTGTTAAAGAGCATCTTGGGGGTTTTATACGGAAAGCACGGGACAACCAATTCGTGTTGACTGCATATTGCCCTGTGAACCGAGGCAACTGGTGCTACTTACGGAGCTGCCTGGTGGATTTCGAGCAAGACTTTTGCCTGGCCACCTGCAACAGTCCCTCCGTGGCAGATGGCATCGACTGGCAAAGCTCGCAGCACATGCTGCAGGAGGCCGTTGGGGTGTGGCCCAGCCTGACGACTGCGCCTTGGCAAAGCGATTCGTATCGCTTGGGATGAGGAAAACTTAGGCTCAAGGAACTTTCTGTGAGTTGATACGCCATCGTTCCAACAATCGTGGAAGTGGGTTGCGGGGGTTTCCTTTTGGGAAAGTAGTCTTCCAAAACCCTCCTGTGAGCTTCCATGATTGTGGGAGGGATAGTAAGCGCCTTTCAAAGTGAGACAGCATAGTCATGATTCTCGTGGGGATCAAAAGGGAAGCAATGTATGGAGGGTGGCATATCCCCTCAATGTTCCAGTGGGGATTTGGTTTGTGCAATCCCAATCCCACGTTGATTGCATGGTAGGCGTTCGGTCGCTTGGCCTATCTCGTAGGACTCGGCGGAGTACCCGCAATGGCACGGCCTGCTGACGGACTGCGTGCAGAACGCCCAGACTTGCGAGGGCGCCGCGCTGACGGCGGAGCTGTTGCTGCGAGCTCCAATAGACGACCCGGAGAGGACTTTTGGCTAGGTCCCCCAGCAGTGCCCGTTTACCGTTTCTTTTTTGGGGGAGGGCTCCCACACTAAAATAGACTACAGAGAAAAAAGGGCACCCTTATTCTAACCTCTCTACTGGAGGACCTAGTTGGGGATGCGAATGCATCACTTGGCCCCATGGGGTTCTTGCAACGCTCGGCTGCGTGTTTTTCCCGCGTGATTGGCAAAAAGGCAAGTTGTGCCACGGCAGCTGCGGAGAATGGTCGGCGAGACAAGGCCACAATCCCTGCTTCAAAGGCAGCCACCAGAAAGACAAATTCCTGTAATTGCAGTCAGTATGATACTGTCAAACGGCAACTTGGCGAGTCTAAGGGCACAAGGGTCAAAACGGGCTGTGCCCGACATAGCCTTCATCTAAAAGCATTGTTGGGTTTCCCCCATGTGTCTCAAGTGCGGAGACCTATTGAGACAATGGTCGGTTTTCTTTTGTTTCCATGTTCTTTGTGAAACCAAGCGTTCAACTGGGTTGCAGGAGCGCAAAGGAGGAATACTCCAGCTGGGCGGCAAGGTGGTTTCTTTCACTCCCGGATCCCAGCGTGCTGGTTTTGGCCGGCTGGCACGTGTTCTTCGTTGCCCTGCGGCCCGGCTGAGAGCAGCATTGTTTTGGAGGGACTCTGGCAGGGGTGTTTCCCTTTGTAATTAATGGTTCAAACATGACCTTTTGATGCCATTCCAAGTGAGTTTTCTTTGGGGCGAAGAGAGCCTTCATCTCCATGCAACTGTTTACCATCTCTGTCCTTCAGCTTTTTCGGTGCGAGGTCCGCCCTTTGGCTTTCCAAGAGGTAGGTCAACACTTGAGGGCAAGGCCAATATTGCAAAGCCCAATTTGGATGCTTAAGATGCATTGGCCTTGTTAGACCCTATTAGGCACTCAAGTGTCCCTACACTCAAGGTTAAAAGGGTTCGAGGCCTGGTTGTGCCCAACCCCCGGTTGTTCAATGCGTTCCAGCCTTCAACTCCCTTTGTTCGGGTGGCTTCCGGATGCACAGCATGGCCCAACCCCGAAAAATGTGTTTCCCGCTTCCAGGGTCCACTGGGTCAACTTGCTGGTGCAAGATGCAGGGAATGAGAAATGGAATGACCCATATAATCCATCCCCTATGGTTTCCTTTACTGGAATCCCCAGGTTCATTCCATTTCTCATTCCCTGCCTATCGCACGGATCGCAACTGGACGCGGTTCAAAACCAATGGTACCATTTTGGAATAGGTGAATTCACCACCCATTTTAGAACCTATTTCAGTGGTTGGAGACGCATTGACAAATGGGCACGGAGGCAGTCCGCCCTGGGCACGTGCCAAGAAGCCCCGGACCACCCGGCCCTCACGCTGCTGCGCCTCGCCTCGGAAGCTTCGGAGACCTTCGGCTGGCGCAGGGCGGTGCGACAGCGACTGGTCACTCGGTTTGGCGGATCGATTCGCTGGATGAGAGTTGATCAAAACGGTGCAGCCGCTTTTTGCGCAGGAAACCAAAGGGAAACCAAAAAGGATGTTAATGTTAACCATGTGAGCTCGAGGGGGCCACGATTTTGGGACACTCCAAATCATGTCAACCCTGACTTCAAACACCTCGTGGCTTAATGGTGCGTGTGTGTGTGTGTGGTGTGTGTGTGTGTGGTGTGTGTGTGGTGTTTGTGTGTGGTGTGTGTATGGTGTGGTGTGGTGTGTGTGTGGTGTGGTGTGGTGTGGTGTGGTGTGGTGTGGTGTGGTGTGGTGTGGTGTGGTGTGGTGTGGTGTGGTGTGGTGTGGTGTGGTGTGGTGTGGTGTGGTGTGGTGTGGTGTGGTGTGGTGTGGTGTGGTGTGGTGTGGTGTGTGTGGTGTGTGTGGTGTGGTGTGTGTGTGTGGTGTGGTGTGGTGTGGTGTGTGTGTGTGTGTGGTGTGGTGTGGTGTGGTGTGGCGTGGTGTGGTGTGGTGTGGTGTGGTGTGGTGTGGTGTGTGTGTGTGTGCGCGCGTGCGCATGCGCATGCGCGTGCGCGTGGGCGCGTGGGCGCGTGGGCGCGTGGGAGTGTGGGCGCGTGCGCGTGCGCGCGTGCGCGCGTGCGCGCGTGACGTGCGCGCGTGGGCGTGTGCGCGTGTGCGTGCGTGAGTGCGTGCGCGTGTGCGAGTGCGTGAGTGCGTGCGTGGGTGCGTGGGTGCGTGCGTGCGTGGGTGCGTGGGTGCGTGCGTGCGTGCGTGCGTGGGTGCGTGGGTGCGTGGGTGCGTGGGTGCGTGGGTGCGTGGGTGCGTGGGTGCGTGGGTGCGTGGGTGCGTGGCATGCGTGGGTGCGTGGGTGCGGTGCGTGGGTGCGTGGGTGCGTGGGTGCGTGGGTGCGTGGGTGCGTGTGTGCGTGGGTGCGTGGGTGCGTGTGTGCGTGTGTGCGTGTGTGCGTGTGTGCGTGTGTGCGTGTGTGTGTGTGTGTGTGTGTTTTTTTTTTTTTTTTTTTTTTTTGTGTGTGTGTGTGTGTCAAACTGCCTCCAACACAGGGTGCGTGTCAGGGCGTTGCCTCCTATGTCATGTTGAATCTTCTTCTGTTCTTGGCATTGATATCTGGTAGCCGGGTTTCCCTCGGCGGCTTAGTGGTTTGGAACACTTGAGCCAAGCTTGTAGTGACAAGCACTAAGGCGGGTCACGCTTAGAACGTGCGCCTTCTCTAAGAGCCGCACGTGAGGAGGCAACAGCCTGGGGAGTGCCATAGAGGCTCACATCCCGCTGGACACAGCAAGACGCCAAGTTGGCTTCGTGTTTTCAAATTGTTTTTCCCCATAGCCGGTGGCGCGCCATCGCACCGTGTTTCGCTTTGGACGCAGCATGCCGCAACAAAGGTCAACATGAGTTCAACCTGGCAAACTCATGGACCGTCTCTGGAATTAAGACTCCCAAGCCCCCGCCACAGCCCTAAATCATATTAACAAGTTGATTTCCTTCAACCTTCGGTTGATGAACACGGATTCATGTTTGCTTCCTGACATCCAGTCGATGACCATCGCAAGCATTTTGGGCATTGCAAAAGTTGTCCACTTCTTCGTCCCAGGTGGGCCAGCACGAAACCCCCAGCATAAAACCTTGTTTGGTCTATCCCCTCTGCACACGCAAGACTTGGGTGAAGGCTAGTATGTCGTGACAGTCCCAGCCGTGAACAGGTGTGGCTGGCCATTGTGTTCTGTACGTGGCTTCGGGTAGACCACTTGAGCGCTCACTTGGACAGCAGGTGTCTTGTTTCGACTCAGGTGAAAGACCAGCTCCGTCGGGGCTTTGAACTGCTCAAAGCCGTGCCTGGTGCCTGTGTGGTCCAGCGCGCAGTGCAGATGGTTCAGGGGCTGGCACGCGACGGGTTAACTCTCAAGACGGCGCCTCGGTGCTTTGTTTTGTTTTTTTGCGAGTAAGGCTGATGTGGGTCGGTTAAGATAGTGACCAAAGGAAGCCAACCTAGCACTTCAAGAGCCGAAACTGTCAATTGAATCATATATGTCCAGACCCTTTTCGCATCAAGCTACACCTGTCTTGGGCAGCGCCAACCCCAGGCCTTTGCGGCCCATCTACCTCCACCCGTCTCGACCCTTCCGGGCCCTGCGGCGAAGGCGGTGGGGGTCTGCGTGGTCGGCCAGCCGCGGGCGCTGCTTCGGTGGCCAGAGCCCCTACTGAGCCAACTCTTCCAGGCGCAACGGCGGGGGGAACTTAAGTCTCGTCGGCGCAAAGCGGGGGGCGGGGAAGAGTCGGTCGAGTCGGGCGGCTTGCTGTTTTTTTGTTTATGTGCTGGGGCCAAGTAGCCCAATAGTTTCGCATATGTCCGAAGAGGAAAGCAAAAGTGATACCAACGCATGCTCCTTGAATGTGACATTGCATTTCAAGCTATGTTGACTGAGACGCGAACGGGCAAGGCGCCAGAGCCATCCACAATACGTTGATTGCCCTTTTCTCAGCATATTTGGAAGCTGGCAAGACCAATTTGCCAGCCTCCATGCTTGCTTGGGTGCCATTTTCCAGTGCCCTGAAAATGGATTGGAGGCATGGTGTGATTGTGTTGGCAGGGTTGGACAAACTTTTCAACATGGGCCGGAAGCCAAAAGTTGTGCAAGCAACTGACCGTGCGAACAACCAAGCACGTTGTGTGCAGTTGCCGGACTTGCCATCTGGCTTGCGGCTTTGTTTGGACGGTGTAGCTTGTTGTAATTAGATACTTTTTCGGTTGGTAGTGGCAGGGTTGTTTGTCAGGTGTTCGGCGAATTCCAGCCAAGCTGTTGCTCACTCACGGCCTTTGCAAGTTACGCCCACCTTTCTAAATATTCCAGTTTGTCTGGGTTGTTGAGTTGTTCTCTTCCTGTTGCTGCCTGTTCCTAGTCTAAGTTGTGTGTCCTGTTTGTTCATGTCCTTTTCATCCACTGTTCTCTTCACTTGGCTTTTGGTTGATCATCTGATCATGTTAGTTGGTTATTACCCCCTAGCTTCTCTAGTCTCTGCTCTTCTCTCCTTCACGCCACTTCTGTCTCAGGCCCGCAGGAAAAAAAACATGTTTCAAGCCTCCGGGCACAGCTCCGAAACGGCAGTTTGATGTGCGTGAGGCCGTGGAAAAACAACTGAGGCCCTAAGACTGTTAGCCCCTGCCCATTCAGTATCGTTGTGGATCCCGGTTGGGTGGCAACTCTTTTCTTCCAGGAGGACCTCCTTCTGATGAACGACTTGCTGAATGGGTGAGCATGTAGCTGAAGCATCCCCCTTTTCGTCAGATCACTAGCCTACCAACGAGGCACCAGGTTCCCCCGCCCCCCCATGCATTAGCCATTCACCGGTTGCACTTAGTGTCCGTCCAGGATGTTGCTTGTACTTGCACGCAGTCCAGCATGCAGAAACAGCATTCAAGGATGCTTGCCTCCCTGAGGAAGTAAGCCCGGAGCATCTAATTCTACACTCCTGCAGATTGACAGGGTTGAAAGTTTATCTTTCTCAGGCACCTCCCATGCAAGCATCATGGGCAACTGTGAGACTGCCCAACGGTTGAAAGTTTTTTTTTGATTTTTCGAGGCATATGTTTTTGGAGGAACCCCCGTTTTGGGATCCCCGGTCGACTTGCAGAGCGTGAAAACCTTTCCTCCCCTCTCCCAGGCGCTCTGCCCGCTGCCTCGCATGCGGCTCCTTGGTCCGAGTTTTAAGGTGTCCCGATTTGCACAGCGAGCCAAAGTGGAAATTGGGTTTAGGGCCACGTCCTGTGATACCAAGGGAATCCCCCTCAAATTGTAGGAGCCACGGGAATCACTCAAGTTGGCATCGCAGAAAGGGCAACTTTTGCAAAAACCATGTTTCGCAGGGCCCAAAGGTAACCTTCATTTCCAGGTGAGCCGCGCCCGAATGGCTGTGCGCATTTGGATCAGAGTGCCAATCGCTCGTTGCGTTTCAGGTTGCAAGCAGACCCTATGTGGCTGTGGGTCAAAACCAATGGTACCATTTTGGGGTAGGTGCACCACCCATTTCAGTCCATTTTAGTGGGGATTGGGATGTTCACTGGGGGTACGGGATTTTGACCCATCGGCGTATATCATTATTTGTGAACTGCAACAAGTCAATAGGGCATCGGTTCTGGGCGGGACCCTTTTGCAGGTTTATCGTCGTGTCCGCGTTGGGTCCCCTCTTAGATGACCAGCCTCATTAGCGATCAAGAATCCTGTAGGCAAGTCGCGAAGTTGGGCTTGAGGGACGTACTGGCCAGTGACTGTACCAGGGTTACTGCCCACTGGAGGTGGTCATCCTGGCCATCGGTTTCTGACATTGCCGGATGATTGAACACGAAAGACAACTAATGGCCCTTGCCAGCTATGATCCCTATGATTGCGCTTGCTCTTAGGGCCAATTTAAGGTTATGTGCCTTTTGGCGAGGGGATGTGGCAGGCGTCCAAAACATTACCCGCCTGCAAAGGTTCACATGGAGCCCAACAAGGGCTCCCGCAAAAGGAGGCCTTGGCAGTTTTGTGGGAGTAATCTTGTCACCTGCCCGCGCTGGACGAACCCTTGGTTGCAAGGCTGGAGAGAGCGCAAGCAAAAAAGCACCTTGTCACAGGATCCTTTTCGTGCTGGCCGCGCAGCCCAGCCTGGGACTTCACTCAGAGGCTGCAGAGCCGCTCGAGGCGGCGCTTCAAACGGCGCTCCAGCATGCGCGCTGCGGTGAGAGGACAGGGGCGTTTTCATCAGATCAGAACCCCACCCCCCCCCGCCCCCCTGTCTCCCAATACCACTTCCCCCAAAATATGGCCCATTCTGGCCCTGTGCATGGCCTTATTTGGCATCTTTGAACCATCGCCACCGTTCAGCCGACTGCTAACTACCTGCTCTCCCTGCCCCGTTTGCCGGTTTTCGCGCACAAGGGGAACTGACCCAAAAACAAACAGGCGCGGGAGACCGATCCTTTTACAGGCGTGGAAGCAAATTGATTTGTGTTTGGAATGCTACTGCAACTGTGTTTTCTAGGGGTTGATTCCTTTTCCATTCTTTTCAACCATCATTATTTTCGAAAACCAGCTGTTTCCCCTGAGGTTCTGATGGATTTCTGCCAAGAAGGATCCCTGGAAAGAATGGGGAAGTGTGCATTCGGTGTTTGGGTAAGTTTGGATCTTTATCCTCGTTGACACGGCAGGTTGCGACCCCCAAGTGCACACAACGCATCAGTGGTAGGTGTGTGGATCTCAATTGAACCTGCAGCCACGCTGGGTGTTTTGCCTGGGCATAGCTTAAGCGTGTCCTCCCAAAAGGGGGCCGACCCGAGCTCAGAGAAGAAAGCTCATGCCGACGACCGGCATGACGGCAGGATGCTTCCGGCAGAGCTGAGCTTGGACTTGCACGACGACCTTGAGGATGAAGAGATCCAAGGCGGGGCAGCAACCATTCGCCACCAGCAGCGTATATTTGCGAGCCAGACAACCTTCTTCTTTTTTTACAAGGGGCTTCTTGCAAGAGGTGCCTGCTATTGGCTCGCACCTTTCTCAAGTCGTCCATTGCATCGCCTTGCTCTTGCTTGTTCGATCCTTGAAGCCGAACCTTTGAGTCCTTTCTTGAGTATACCCTTAGGCCGCCTGTCAGTGGAACAACTTCAAGGGATCAATGCTGAGGCTTGGTGGATGCCTACCCAGCAGAGGCCTGGTGGCACCAGGAGGCGCCTCAATAGCTATTGAGTGGTCTGAGTTTTGCCCTGCCTCACAAAACGCATTATCACACACCCAGTCTTGCACGCCAAGCCCTCGTGTTTGTTGATTCTTCCCCTGGGAGGGCTTTGGGCGCACCAAGTGGGTGCGCCAACTGCAGAGCCTCGCCCGCTGCCACCAACTCGTGGACGGCGATTCAGATGGCCTGGAGTGGATGCTGATTTTACGACCCGACGCCTGGCAGGTGTTGCAACTCAGTGGTTTGCTTCCTTTTTAACTTTTCTTGTGGGGTTTGTCTTTATAATCGACCGATTGTACCCCATGGCCATAGGTCTGAGACAGAAGGACCCCGGCCCGAACGCCCTTTGACACACAATGATCCAAACAATTCCTCAACACACTGCTTCACTGGCTCACTTTTTTCTGAAAAGCAGCCACACCACCTGCATACAGTTCTTACAAGGTAGGGATCCAAAATACACGCGTTGCATGAATCCGCAAGTGAGCCATTTGCGGGTGTCCTTTTACCGGCAAGTGACCATCAATATAAGGGGCTGAATAATCACTAACATTCTACGCATATGATCAAACAAGTTGTTTCATGCCCCGCAACCCTTTTCTAGTTATTTAGTGCCTTATATGCACCATTTGGTTGCCAAGTCCCAGGATTTGCTCCACATCGTGCCGGTCCCCGCCGTGTCGCGCTGGGAGCCGCCCGAAGGCGGCGCAAGCCGCGCACGCCGCGTGGTCTTGGCCCACAGCGGCCGCAGCAATGTCTCGCCGCAGGTGGGCAAATGTGGACGAGGAATCCCCACCCCCAGGCCCCAGGGTTCCGGGCAAGCCATTTCCTAAGGGAAGGACTAGAGAACTGGAATTGGGGACCCGGGTCCCACCCCCCGCCCCCTTATGGTAGGGATGACGAGGAACATCCCTCGAACTTGGGATACGAAACATGTTCCGCTTCTTTTTCAGCCCGAGAGACTGATCAAATGTGATATACATTTTATTTGGCTGATGTTCCCAAAAAGTTACTGCGGCAGTCACAGGCTTCGATGTTGTAGGTAATGTGGAGTTGGGGACACAGTCCACATGAGTGTTTCTTGAATAGTCTACTCGTCATGTAAGAATAGTGTGTGGGTGTGGATAAGTTTCATTCTCTGGCGACACTACTAGTTTTTTCTTGGATTGTTTGAAACGGGAGCCCCAAATCCCGCAGGCGGGCTATTTGGAAGGCCTAGACCGGGCCATGGTACTGGGGAGATCTGCCGCCGACGCGGTCTTGCGACGGCCTTTGGAGGCGCTCTGGACCTGGGGAGGCATTGGATGCAAGTGAGGTTGGAGAAGATTGAGGGATGGCTTTGGTAAAGTAAGGGCAAGCACAGATGTATATCGGAAACTATAGGTTTTAGGCACACCACCTGCAATACCATGATAATTCCCATGTAACATCAACAAATGGCTCCAGTTTGGCATCGCAGAAAGGATCATTTCCCAGAAGATTACCCTTCTATGGTCCGTCAGGGGCAAGAGGGAGTCGCTGAGTTTCCCACGAAATCTATGGATGGCTCAAGCGGTTGGTACACTGCGGTGATATAAGTGTAGTACTGAAGGATGTGTCCTGCAGTTGCTAAGTGGGCTGGCCATTCAAGCAGCCGTCGCCAAAAAGTGGTTTGGAGTCAATCAGCCAAACTGCGATCACAATCCAGGCAAGTAGTACAGTATGTAAGTGGAGGGTCCCGGAGGGTGGTTGAGGATCCGAACACGATCCGAACATCGGTGCTGCAGAAGCCCCCAGTTTTTGGAAGGCCTGCTGAAGTCGTCGCTTGGGGGAGGTTACGGGTCATCCGAGAGAGGGCGCTAAAAGTATTCTGAAATCTCTTTGAGGGGGGAAGGACCGACACCTCATCCCTTTGCCCTTGTCCTTTGAGAGGGTTGTGGTGAAGTGACTATTCCCGACTAGACTGCTATAGGGACGGGATAGATAGCACTAGAGAGGAGAGAGAAAGAGAGAGAGAAAGATAGTTTCGCCAGGGTGCCAACAGAGCCATGTTTTTTGAAGTTTTTCCAGCCCCTTTGATTCTTGTGGCATCCCTGGAGAAGTTTGTTTTAGACCGCATTCCTATCCAACAAAATGGAACCTGTGCCGGTTCCATTTTGCTGATTTGGAGTTCCTTACCCGGCCGTAAGGACCTCCCCGTTCCCCACTCCGAGCTGGCATTCTCCGTCAGGTGCTGAGCAACGGCAGCTGGGTGGCGGCGCACCCCAGCTGCCTCTCCTGCCCGGCCTGGCGCTCCCCAGGCCTCCGGAAAGCGGACCTATCCGGAAAGCGGTGCGACAGGTATGGACGAGAAATCCATGTCGCAGCACCTAAGACACCAGGAAACAAACTACTCAAATAGACGGACAAAACTCGGGCGCCCTTATTCTAACCCCACTGGAGTGGAGGACCTAGGACCTAGGATAGGTAGGGAATGTGAAACGGAATAAACCCAGGCTTTGGTCCCCTTAAAGGAAGTCACCACCAGTTGGATGGTGTGGGGGACCATGGGCACCCTCATTCCCTGAGCATCAAGTAGGGCTCCGAAGGCTCACTTCCAACCCGTAGGCTTCAAATGCGTGTGGCTCAAATAGATGCAGCAAAATGGCACCTTAATGGCAAACAATAACAGTTATATGGCTTGCCCTAGCTGTTTAATTTTGAGCCACACCCGAATGTTTGTGTGCCAAGAAGCAAGTCTCGAGTTTGTTTGACCAATCCAGCCAGGAAGTGAGTATGGAAGGCAACCCAGTGTTGCCCAAAGCCATTAAAACATGACCCAACCTGGTAACCTTGCTTGGCTAGCAAATGTTTAGGTTTAGTTTGGATTCCTTTTTCAGGGCTGCATTATTTTACCCCTCATGCCAGGGATTTCGGAGCAACGGACTCAGTGGTGGCTTTTCTAAGAGTCGCATCATCCTGCGTTGGCTCTCCTGAAAAGTTCCCAACGGAATTGAATTTGGGCTGCGCCGAGTGAGACTTGGGGGGAAAGTACTCACAATTGCTTAACTTCATCTTAAGGAAGCCGAAATGGTATGCACATTTTCTTAATGTTGTCTAGAGACTCTGTTCCTATTTGGGGTTTACAGCCACCACATGTAGGGTATATTTGCCAAACAAATTGGTGGAGCTGTCTTCATAGAGACTTAGGCAGGCATGGTTGTGGGAATTAAGCTCCTTTCAAGTTTCAATTGACAAAGTAGTCGTATGTAGTCGTAAGGATGGTCTACACCGGTTTCGGTTCGGGTTATTTCCCACAACCATGTGTCAGGATACCCTTGTTGATGGAAATTGCGGAGATCTGAACCCTTGGTTCTTGGGGATTCTTGGGGTAAATGGGAAACCACCTCAGCTTACAACCAATACAAACCACTAGAGGGACTCACTTGCAAGCGAATCGACCTTCGGCCTTTTAAGCTTCCCCTTCCAATCATGGAAGTGGGTTCGAAGGCCTTTCTCAAAAGGAAAGTCCAGATTCATCGTGTCAGCTTCCATGAATGTTGGAGGGAGGGAGTTGGGTTGGGCGAGTTGCCCAAAGTGAATCGACCTTTGGACCATGGCAACTGGTGATCACCTTTTCTCGGGTCCTGGGGGTGGGGAATGGCCCTACTGTGGATGGTTGCGAAATGTTGCGAAATCCATCCAACGCACCACCTAAAAAAACAAAACCTGGTTTTTGGGCAGTCCCCAACGTAAATACCAACAAACAATGCAGGGCTCCTTAAAAGATACATTTTGCCCATTTGAAACATGGCTTTTGCAACCAAAATAAAGGGAACCCACCATGTACAAGGCAATGTTCAGGTGTACAATGTAAGGATCCCTGCAATGGTTTCCTATGGTTTCATTTTGTGGTGCGGAACGGATTTCGTCCATCCCCACCCCCTTAAATATGGAATTGGGGGAAGGGGGTGACCCCTTGGAGATCTCCATGGGCAAGCCATGTCCTAAGGGGAAGACTAGAGAACCGGAATGGGGGACCTGGGTCCCACCCTTGTCCCCCCCGCCTTGCGTCCATCCACAGCTACGGTTTTGGGCATGCGATGCGAGGCGTGAAGCTGGGCCCTGAAAAGCACCTCGCCAACGTGCTCTACGACGCGGAGGTGGAGCTGATGCTGGAGGAGACCTGGATCCAGCCACTGGCGACTCAGCCGGGAAGTTTTTATGGGATCGTCGTGCGGGGAGGGGAGTTTCGGTGACCTGAAAGACTCCAAGATGGTTCATATCAACCCCAGTTTTTTTAGAGTACCAACCCGGATTTGGGAATCAGACCACTATTGGAGAAAAACACCCCTCATACGAATAAACGGGGGTTGATTTATCCGGGGCCAACATGACCAAGTTAGACACGTTGCCAGACTTTTGATTTGGCTTAGGCTGTTGAGCAATTTGGGTCTTCCATGGTCTTCTCTTTTGCAAAGGTATAACTTGTTTGCATGGGGGCTCAGTCTGGCCCAGTCAATATCAGTCAATACTGTGCGGGAAGACCAGTTTTGTGGCAATTTACAAGTTGGGACTTGTTCGGCCAATCCGCTCAGGAAGCGAGTTTTTTTCGATTGAGGCGACGGGTCTTATGTGGGTGTGTCGTTAAAAATTATCACGCGTAACAAGTTGCACTCCCTCAAGCAGGTGGTTCGAAATAGGTCGCTTCCCAAACTGCCTTAACCAGCCAGCTGGGCCTTAGCCAGCCAGCTGGGCCTTAACCAGCCAGCCTTCAGGACTGCAATCTACATCGAGTGATGTAGACTCAGTGTTTGCCCTTTGGACTTTTGAACTGCCAACTCCTGAAGCCATCGACCCAGCTAGTGGTGGGTTTTGCGAAGAGGATCCCGACAGGTTTAGCTGCTGGGTCGGCATGGCTTTCATGGATGCAGCATGGGCCTGCCACAGGTCAAAGACTTTCTTCCTATGAATGGCAGCTGAGCCGCTGAGCCCTCTCCATCGAATGCTCAACCATGGTCCCCTGGTCCCTTGATCCAGGGTCACACGGTCCAGGGACCCGGTCCTTTGGCAAACCCGCCCCAGCGCGCCCGCCCCAAACCAACCCTTAACCCCGGACCAACCTCCCACCAGACCACCAACCTCCCACCAGCCGCAACGAACCCTCCCCCCAATGAAAACGACAAAAAACGACCCCTAGACCAACCTCCCCTGGCGCTTAGGGTTTCTGTACTGGGAAATGACCTCATTTAGGCTTTTCCGGGATAAACTCATATTATTTTGGACCATCTTGAGCCATTTCCCAAGTGTGTAATTGCAGGGTGTAATACAAACAACCATTTGCCCCTTTTCTTTGGCACTTTGGCAAACCCCCCCCCCTCCAAAAAAAAACACCAACAACAATGAACAAGCCTCAGATCTCGGGGCCCTGCCTCTCTAGCGTGTCCAAGACAGCCCTTACCCCTCCCGTACCAAGCGCCGGGTGCGGCCTCAGGTGCTCTCAGAGCGCGGCTGTGTGAACTTCCGACCCTGCGAGGGCGCCAGCTGCAAGTCACGGGATGCGCTGCCGCGCTGGGCGCGGAGACTGGTGCTGGCGCCTTGGGCTGAAAAGGTGGTCCAAGACTCTGCAGATTGACGCGGGTATTCATTTAGCTGTGGCTCAAAAACATGTACCAAAATGGCACCTTAATTTGAGCTACCAACATGGCACCTTGGTCAAACCATGCACAAACTTTGTAACCCTAGCTCTTTAGTTTTGAGCCACACCCATTTTGGAGCCTTTGGTGGATATCATTTTGGTGGGAGTTCCGCAACTACTTTTGATGTAGCCATGGGAGCCAAACAACCCTCATGTGATTAGGAATCTCTCTTGGGGGACCTCCTTTTTGGGTTCAGGCAAATGAGTTTGAAGGGGGGAAGCCCAAGGACTATTTGAAGCCAGGATGAATTTGACCGCATAGCTTGAGAAGAAGGGGCGTCCACGTGCTGAGGGGGGTTGTTAAAGGACTGTTTTGGCTGAGACTTGCTGCTGCCATGTGGCGAATATGAGCGAATTAGCAGCTTGGAGTTAGCTGGTCAGCAGCTATACTACTTGCCAGGGTCACTTCCCCAGAAGTCAGGTCAGGTGTTCACGGCTCCTTCCCACCAGAATGGTTCACACAACCCTCCTTAGAACGCCCTCAGATTCTAAGAAGGTTCCAAGACTGCCTCCTGGCTCCTGGCGGTTGGGGGGGCCTCTGCTTTTGCAGGGTTGGGCAAATTTGGTGAAGGCCATTGGGGGGAGCCAACAGGAGGACGTTTAAAACACATTTTTTGAAGTCTGTTTAACATTTGGTTGGCCCAACCCTGTCCGTTTTGTTTGCCCTATGCCTGGCGTTTGGCCAGGACCACACCTGCTGGCCTGCCAGTGACCCGCTGGCGGCCGAAGCCTGGGTCCAGGCCGCCGAGGGTCCGGGCGAGGTCTCTGGGCCGGCGGCAGCCTTCCTGCCGGAGATCTTCCCAAGGAGCTGGGCCGCCCGGGGCCGCCCTACTGCGCGCCTTTTTTTCGCCAAGAAGCTGGCGGGCGACGCTTTCTTGAGGGGCCAACTAGTTGGAAGCAACTCGGGCTGGGTTGCTCACAGGGGATGGTTTGTATTCACATGGTCCAAGTCCTGAAGTCAGTCAAGTTCAGCCACAAAGGGCCACCGAGATCCTGACAGACCTTCGCCTAAGGGCTTGAGAAAGCTAAGGAAAGGATTCAAGTACCATCGGGTAGGCTCACATAGATTGCGTGAGAAAGGTGTGGCACCCCGCCTCGAATTGCCAATGCCTTTTGCCAACCGCTGCAGGAGCCTGGAGGCTTAGTCCTTCCATCCTATCATTGGGCAACTTTCAAGCGCGCTTGCACCAAACGCTGGCCACGGGCACGAGACTTGGCTGATCCCGAGCAGCTCTTGTGGGGAGCGGATGGTGGCTGCTACTTTGCGGTGTTGATTTTTCTTCCATAGAATTAGCTCCCCTTTTTGTTCTTTTTTTTTGCCTTTTTGGGGTCCCTTTGTTGTCCACTAACCAGGCAAAAATGATATTTTTTGGCCGGGGTCCTAATTCCAGCTTAGATTTGCAGTGCAGCAATCAAGGTTGACCTCGACAACCTGCTGATCACGGCGGTTTGCTCTTAGTCCAGCACGGACCGAGGACCGGGGTTGGGCGAAAGTAGTGTCAAACTACCAGGCCATGCGTGATCCGATTCCCCGCTAAATACCAACAATGGTTTCAACCATGGTTTCATGGCGCAGTAGAAATCAGAGGCTGACCCCTATAAACAGTGGTTTGAGCTGTGGTTTACACAGCTTGCGACGGTTGAGACCCCCCAAGCCTCCCATGCGACGCTCAAAGGCATCACCGGTGCCTCGCGAGACCAACTGGGAGACGAGCTGCGACAGCTGGGGACCCGTGTGAGTCTGCCAGCCCCTTCGGCTGTAGCCCCGTGTTTTCTCCGGGGGGCGGACGGAACTCACGGGGGCGGACGGAACTCACAAGGCCCCTGCAAATGTTGGCTCGTGCCAGGCCAATGCGTAGCGGCCTGGTAGAGCTGTATAGGTCCTGCAAGCCAAAGCTGGCCAGATGACTGGGGGGTATATACATGAATCCGACCTGAGCGCAGTGCTTGACAAAATCGGGCACAATGCTGGCGGGCATGGCAATCGCGAACTTTGCAGTGACAAAGCACACGATATGCTGCTACGCAAGGGCCCGCTGGACATTGAAAGCCCGCTTGGATCCAAAGCACGGAAAACACATGAAGCAAGAGGAGCCTACGGTCTGGGCTGTTTTGGCCAGGGCATTTCAGCGTACTACTGGTTGATCCCACTGTTCCCCCCCTCATTCCTTGAAAAGCCACTAGGAACTCGCGGTTTTGGCTATTTCCCAGGAAGAAGGAGGCCCTGCAAATTGGGGAAGTACCACTTGGAGCCACCAAGGGTGAAGCACCCAGATTCTGCGGTCGGAGTTCTTCGGGGTCGGTGGTTTGCTGCTCGGGTGGCAAGCGCCAGGCAAGTGCTGTACGAGGAGTACATGGCTCCGGAGGAGAGAAAAGAGCTGCTGGATAATGACCAGGCCGGCCAGCCGCCCTGGTTGATGCAGAAGGGGGTGTCCCACTTAGGGATTTCTCAACTTTTAGACCAATACGGGGTTGTGAAGCTGGGGCAATAGGCGAATCGAGCCCTTTTGCAGGGAACGAGTCATCGCCTCACAGAGGGTTCTACACTTCCAGCAGGTCTGTGCATTTGTCAAAGGGTTTCCTTTTTAGCAGCAGCTTCTGTTGAATCCCCGCCCGAGGTATCAGACATCAGTTTTCCCCGGCTCATGAGTGTGCTGTGGGGATCTTGCTGATGGGAAGGACGAATCATCCAGAACAATGCTAAAGAGTTTCCCTAGGGTTCAACCCCCATCAAAAGAAAGGTTGACCCAATTTGGACGATGACAATCCTCAGGTAAACACTTGTGGTTGTATGAGCCCCCATTGTTTTAGTGGTGGTTTGAATCCCAAGGGTTACTTGTAACTCTGACAGAACCGCATGTTTGGCCTTCCCAACTGCACAGAAAACTGTTCACTTGTTTTTTTTGCTGCGATGCCCTGACCTGAGGTGGACCGTTCCGACTGGCACCTGGCAAATCACCCAATTGTAGGTGTCAAGGCTGATGAGGCTTCCGCCTGACGATTTCTGAGCGGATGTATGTCTGAATGGGTGCACATAATATATATATATATACATACATATACTCCAGGTCCTATCCAACTCAGCAGATGTGCTCGTCAACTTGTCAACTGCTGTCATGCGCCTCGCCTTGTGAGACAGGAAGCAGAGACCAGCGGTGGTGAAAGCGGCCGCCTTGGAGAGCGGCGTTGATATATGAACCCAGCGCAAGCGCAGGAGAGGTGCCACATGGTTGGAAGCATTCTGGACGTGCACACATTTGCTCTGGGATTCAGTTACCGCCATTAAAACAATGGGGGCTCATACAACCACCAGAACGTTTACCTAAGGATTGTCATCATCCAAATACCCTCGGGTTTGTTGAGATGGCTAGTCGACCTTCCTAGCCCAACCATGTGAACACTCAATGGGCAATTGCCATACTATCCGTTGGATTGTATAGACCTGGTAGCCGCCAAAGCTTGTTTTTGGGTGACTTGTTGGCAGCGACGGGCTGGTTCGGCATGAGGGCCGCGAGGCGGTCGTCGGGCTTTTGTTGTTGTTTGGTTTTCCAGGCGCCTTTCCCTTTGGGTGTCTTGAATAAATTTATGAACCAAACTGAGAAGCTGATTTTCAACCAGGCTCCCGTGTTTCAACCGCCAAGTCTGGTTCATCCCGCCCCCTTGGGGAACAGCCAGGTTTTCTAGAGGGAATGGGCTAGTGCGGCATGTGGCTGCTTTGCTCCTAGTGCAGGAACCATATGATGTGACGAGGCTTCTGCATACATCATGGCTCAATGGTGAATGTAGCACTTCTTCTCACCCTTTCCCTGACTTGTTGCGAGGGTAGCTCAAAAATTGCCATCCACCTAGAATTTGCTTCAACGACTTTCCCATGCTTTGCCTGTTGAGCTTTGACTTTAGTCGTGAATGTTGTGCGATGGCATGTGCACGCTTGGCCATAACTAGCCAAGCGCCCATTTGCGCTACCTGGTTATGTCTTAAACTGCTGGGACCCCTCCACGGTGGGTTGTTTCCTTTTTTTCAGCAACAATAGAAATGGTACCCTCAAGAATCACACATCAACGTGTTGAAGTAGTATCGGTGGCTGGAGCCGTGCATACGGTTTGCACGCCTTGAGGCTCGGACAATGAGCCGGCCGGCGCCCCATGGGCCAACGCATGTCTCCGCTGTTGCTGGTTACCACTTGGACTTGTTTCTTCTAAAAAGCGTTTATGCAGAAAAATTGTGTGTTTTGGTCTGAAAAGTTTGTTTATTCGGAAAATTGTTCGGAATGAGATGCTTTGAGGCAGCTCGGATTACAATGTTTTTGGGGCGCCGTGAACGTTCAAACGGACGTAGTGGAGCCCCACCCTTCCCCCAATATACTTGTAACCAGGCGTCAACCTCATTTACGGCGTGGTCAGTATTCAGATCACTGCGTGTGGGCCTGCTGCGCATGGGGAAGGTTGATACATGAGCACAGATAACACATGTCACAATCTATGCTGAAGCAACTACTCCTGGATTGTCCGGTTCCATGTTAGCCTACAAGGGAGTAATCTGTAGTGGTTGTGTTGTTCACATGTTGCGACCCAGGCAACGCAAAGTCCTTCTTGTTTTTTTGGTCACGCGAGAGGTTCTCAAAATGGTGAGCCTCCTTTAGTTGGTATTCAAAGGGATACCACAACAACACCACTCATCAAAGGGGGGCTTGTTTCGAGAAGCTCTAGTTCGGTTCCTGGAAATCTGTCGCATGCCCAGGGCGTCTTCGCGGACTGGGCGCGGTGGCGCTGGGCTTAGCCGGAGTTGATAAGTGGGGCGGGGGATGGCGGGGAGGGAATGGAGGCATCCCTTCTGTGGTCAGCTACTCCACCGCAGAGTAAAACATGGCCACCCAACAAAGATTTGTTGGGTGATCCGGCAAAAGATGTGCCCTGAATAGTTGTTCCATTGCCACCTGCAGCTGCAAACCGCTGTGCAAAAGTGAGCCTCCCATTCCAAAGTCACAAGAAGTTTCCATGTGAACAGCTGCCTGTTGCGGGCGAGCAAATGAAAAGCCCCTGGCTTTGGCACATCTGAAAGCTGCAACTGTTCGGAACGCGTCTGGGTGGTTCCACTCACCCGGCCCCACGGTGCACCGTTCTGATATCGCCCGCTTAGCGTCCAAGAAATGAATCCAGGATTCGGGGCTTCGGCCGGATGCGTCCAAACAGAACACAATGAAGCGAAGCCGAATCATTCGCATCCAAGGGCAAAGTGATGCGAAAATGGGGGAACCCACAAAAGGGGACACGGAGCGCACAAAGTTGAGGAACCCCAAAAGGACAGCCTGGCCCCGTTATTTCACCATCAACGTCATCCCCTAAATGGTAGGTTAAAGGGAAACCACATGAAACCACCCCAGTTTCTGACTTTGACAACCCCCAAAAACAGTCAAAACAATGACCCCAAAAGGCCAGCTGATGGAGCCCTACCATTCCCACAAGATCGAGTTCCTGGGCTTAGGACGCTGCGCTTGATCGTGGACCTGATGGCCTCTGCGATCTTTTGGTATGTGCGGGCCCTCGGGTTTCGTTGCGAAAGGGCTCAAGTTGGCCCAATGAACTCGCGACCTCGCATTGGACGGATTTTTGGTTTGCGACCTTGCCCAAAATACCAACAGTGGAGGTCTTTTTTGGGGGGGGCCTGGTTCGGGTCGGTGAACTATTCGCATGGCTCAGAAGTTTGACGCAGGCAGCTCTTACCAAAGGACTCAGCCTTGCCTGCCCTTTGCACAAACGAGTTGGCATGGCATTCATGTCTGACTGCTGCCAAACCATGTAGCACGTTTTGCACGTCTCGAAAGCCGGAGCTCAACCACATTCCCCGGCGTCCCGGCGTGATGCTTACGCCTGCCCCTTTCGAGCATCAACTAGGTCCCCCAGTAGTGCCCTTCTCTCCCCTTTTTTGGGGAAGGGTTCCCCTACTAGAATAGACTACACAGAAAAATCGGGTACCAACTTATTCTAACCTCTCTACTGCAGGACCTAGTCAATTTGAGAGAACGTGGCTATTGTGCGACCCGTGCCTGAGCTGAGGCGATGTTTTCATCGATACCGGACGCATACTTCTACGGCTTTCTAGCGGTTGTGAGCGTGGCTACGGCCCCAGCTTTGCCCCTTTTGTCATACCTCCAGCTGCCGAATTGGCTCAGGCAATCACTTGGCAGGGTTTTGTTTGAAGGGAAGCGCTATGATTGCCTGAGCAATTGGGCCTTTTGAGCAGGTTGTGCCAAATATGCGTAATTCCAGGAGTTTGGCGCTTGTTGGCATTGGATTGTTGGTGATCCTTGATGCCCTGCAGAAGTCAAGTCTCCAAGATCTCTATCAGGGACTTGGTGGAGCTGTGCCTGGAAGTTGTGTTCGAACCAAGTGTTGATTTGTCCATGCGCTTCTCGCATGGATTTCGCAATTGCTGTGGCACATGTTCTGGCACAGCTTCTGCAACATTGAGCACCGAGCTGATTTGGCAAGAGATGGAATCGTGCAGCCTCAGGTTCAGGAAAGCTCGCCATGAATACCCCAGGTCTTGTGTGAGGTCCCTTTGGTTCCTCTCAACATGCTGGCGGTTGGGGTTTCTGGTCTGCAGACTCAGGCAACAGGAGGCTTTTCCCGGGAAACGTTCCACTTGTTGACGACCAGGTCGACTTAAACCAAGGGTTCCCTTGGGGGGTTTCAACCACTCCTGGGCTTAAGTCTACCTTGGGGTAGTCAAAAAGCGGCAGGTTTCCCGGGCGTCCGAATGACTCGATCTGAGGCCATGGTGCTCTGGAGTTGGGTTGCCCAAAGTGCTCAGGCCTAGCAGGTACTGCACTTGGCCCACCACCAGAGGTCCTTTGAGGGGGAAAAACAAACAAACAAACAAACAAACAAAAGACGGGAAAACCCCAGCCCCGCCCCACAGTTGGGTGAAACTTGGTGAGGTGATGGATCTGGGCTTTACTTTGTCCAGACCCCTCCATCTATTGCCAGGAAATTGGCCGCTT